CAACTGTTTTAACATTCAAATGAATTGCATAAACTAAATTCCAACTATAGAGAAAGATCTTTTGTATTCATGTTGATTTTCTTATATTTTGTTAAAAAAACAAGAATTTCTAAAACTGCAATACTTTCAAAATTTCCTTTTCAAAATTTCATTACAGAAAATTTCAAGCATCCAAAAGTAGAACAGAATGAAGAAATCAATGTACTTATCACCCAGTTTCAATCACTCACAACAGGCAACTTTGTCTCATTTATACTTTTACTCAGCCCCTGTCTCTCATTGTCACACATTATATTGAAGCAAATCTGATGTCATGATTATTCCCTCCTTTAATAATACATTTCTAAAGAGCAGGGATCTTTTAGAAATATAACCATAATTTTCACAGCTGAAAGGAAATATTCCTTAAAATTAAATCTCTTACTCAGGAAATGGTACTTAAGTCTAAGAAAAGACAAATATCAAGGAAAAAAAATTCCAATAGCTCTGAGTCCCCAAAATTAGCTATTCCCCTGCAATAAAAAGGAAACAGTATTCTCTTGAAGCAGAGAACTGGAGGTCAGGGGCTTTAATGGGGAATTCAGAAATGGCATTCAAATTCTGTAACATGCACAAGAGCCTTTTTTATTTTTTTGGTTGATAGCATTTATCAGAATGTGAAGCAGTTTGAGACCTAAAACATTTAAAGACCTTCTGCCCTTGGTTATGAATTTGTGTGCTTATTGTCACATCACCTCACACTGCCAGGAAGGATTAGTCAAGTAGGGAAACAAATCCACCTAAAATAATGTAGAGACCAAACTGAATTGAACTCCATCTGTACTGAGCATACCTGAGGTGCAAGGCCCTGGATTACAATCTGGAGAAACAAAGGTAAAATAGACCTAGTGAATTTATAATCTAGTCAAACTAACAAAATGAAAAAGATCTTGATTTAGATATTGTCGATTCAAAGCAAAGAAGCAATGATGCTAGTTTTGGGGAGGAGACAGTAGGCTCTTAAGGGAGGAGAGATATGGAGGATGTCCATAATTGTTCCAGCAACTCCTTGTAAATATTTTACTTATCCCCTTGCTGAGGGACATGAATAAATGAGTTTATTAGTGTCTGTGCTTCCCTCACCAGATGGGGTGGAAGAAGTAATCCTGAATGTTGGAGGGAAGAGGTTACATTTAAGCAGTATTGTGAGTGTCAAACAGTTCATCAGATCTGGGGTGGAGAAAGACTCAGTGAAGAGGGAAGGGAGGTCATTCCAGGAAGCAAAAAACAGGAACAAAGGGGTGGAAATTACTGGCAAGTTAGGGAAACAGCAGAGTGGTGCCTTAAAGCAGAGCCTGTGGGAGGGGCTGGCTGACTGGAAATGCTGGCTGGGACTAAAACTTGGAGCCTTCCAGGACCTGGGTCTCTATTCTGTAGCCAGTAGAAAGCCATTGACCTGTTGCAAGTCAATCAGTTTTGTGTTTATAGAGTATGCCTCACCCTTGCGTGGATGATAGTTGTTCAATGTTTACTGGACTGGCAATTCCTTGAGTTGGTTGGATGGTGTGAGGTGAGAGAAGCAGGCTAGTTAGGAATCCACTGCAGCAGGTCAGGAGAGGTCTAGGGTGGTGCAGCAGAAGAGAGATGAAAGGGCACAGAATTTCAGAAATTATTCTTTGAAAGAAGAAAAAAGAAACAAAAGAGACCAAAACATAACACAAATTCCATTACACAGAGGCAAAGTGTGTGTTAGGATGCTCTCATTTCTATTACAAAAACAAAGAAACAGTGGTAATATGCTTACAACACATAAAATAGTTCAGGGTGGATATGAGAGAAATAGAAGCCATGGTTTTAGGGCATGAAAAAGGGATTGGCAAAAGAAACACAAGGGAGATTTTTGTACCTCTGGCAAACTGAACCAAATGAAGTGTTATCTCTTGGCTGAGTAAAAGAATACATAATCCTCCCCTTTACTGCCAAGCACTGGGCAGAGAAAAGCAGAAAGAGAAAAACTTTTAGATACAAATCTAGGTTCCAAATTTGATAATGACTCTACCTAACTGCGGGGGCATAAGGCAAATTAAGTTCCTTTAGTTTCTTTCTTTTCATTTGCAGAAATAGGAATAACACTGGAAAATTGCTGGATCAATATAACAATTAAAATAATTCCATACAAAGCATCTAGTAGAATATCTAGCATACACTAAATACTCAATGAGTAGTGTCTATTTTATTATCTTTTTAATTTTTATTTTATTTTATTTTTTTTATAGAGGCATGTTTTATTTATTTATTTATTTATTTGTTTTGTTTATACATGCACTGGGTACAGTCAGAAGTACGGGAGGGTGAGAGAATTCACCAGAGCCAGAGCAGGGAGCAGAGCAGGCAGAAGGACCGAAGTACACTGCTGAGGGGAGCAGCGGGCGGCAGGAGAGGTCTGTGCGCCATGTGGGACTCTCCTTCAGTGGCCGGGGAGCAGCCGGGTATCGAACCGGCGCAGCAGAGGCTGCGGGCAGCTTCGCAACCCAGCGCTCAACTGCTGCGCCACCGGGGAGGCCCAGTGTCTATTTTATTATAGACAAACTTACTTGATTTGAATACATTCTAAGGATAAGAAAAGTCTAAAGGTATAGCTCATTAGCTAATCTTTTCCCTATATAACTATTTAAAATGTACAAAATGATTAATGTGATCCATCTTATGAATACTATTCATTATATATGTTTCTAGAAATTTAAGCTCATTTATCTGAATTTCTAAGGAGAGGTTAACTTTTGTCTTTAATGTCACTGACCACAAATTTATTAAAGTAATGTATTCACAGAGGACAGCAGGTGCCATAAGGCCTCAAGAAAATAGATAATAAGTTACCAGCCTTGAGGAACTGACAATCCCAGTGAGACAAACAGGTGTGACCTTCAAGTAACCATGGCCCCAATTTGGCAGAAGAGATGGAAATACTGGCAACGACACACCCAATTGTGGCCATGTATTTGGTGTAAGATGGTAAATCACACATGTTAAAGGAGGTTACTCTGTAAGCACTGCCTTAGGTTTCTTCTGTATAATACTGTTGTAAATCAGTTGTAACTGTGGCAGTAACAGCATTCTGTGTTACAAATGATTGTCCACTCTCAAAGCCATACTCTTGTCTGAACAGCCACACCATTATTAAATCGTCAAACAAAAGTTTCTTTGTTATACACTGAGATGAATAATTTCAAACCATTTTCATGCGAGATGTTCTAGCTCAGATCTGTCCCAGCCTCTAAAGATGAAGCATTAGAAATGAGAACAGCTGGAGTTTAGGAAAGATTTCTGTTAAAGGCAGGAATAATGATGAACATATTCCAAAATTTCAGAAGTGTTAGTGCTTCAGGGAAAAAAAACGAAGGCATAAGGCCAGGGGAAAATGCATTTCATTTCATATACAGCACTGTGGAGAGTGGTGGTGTGGATGCTTAACCAAAAACATCTAGATAATTATTCAAATATTTCTTTTTGATACACATGGGTCTTGGGAAAAACATCAGTATTAATCTGTACAAAAGCAAGTTAAAAACGTAAACACTAATTTCTAAGGAAGCTTTCAGTGACGCCGTAAATATGGATGCGCGCGCTGGAGGAATGACTGACTTCATATTAGCAAGGAAGTCTTGTTTCTAAGCCACAGGAGGATATACACTTGTTCTTACACCTTTAGCTACCTATGGTCGAAGCTCCAGGTCGCTCACAGAAGGTGAATAAAGACTGGATTAAGAGGCTAATCTAAGGCTATATATAGACAGTAAAACTAATTTAATCTCCGCCCTTTCCTCTCCCCTCCCAATTTCCATAAATCTCAACATCTGAGTTACAAAGAGACTGGCGAACTCTAGCAGAGTGAGGCGGCCCATTCTCCTCCCCTCTCCCAGGCCGTCTCATAAGCGGAGTATTAGTCCAAGTGTAAATTTCCTCCTTAACATCCCTAACAGGCTGCGCAGGGCGAGGAGATTCGGTCGTCTTCCACAGCTTCCACAGAGACCACTGGAGATGACAAGTAGTGATTTGGGGGGCAGGGGGAGTGAGAAGGGCTGAGGCTTGCCAAAGGAAAACTACCTTCCCCCGGGAGTATCCTCGTCACGCGGTCACCTAGCTCGTAAAGGGGAGCTCTTCTCGCCACCGCACCCCTAGCCCAGCGCCCCAGCCCCAGTCTCCCCGGGAGCCGAACCCGGCGGCGCCACGCACCAGATGTGCACCCGCCACTTCCCACCGCGTGGCCGGCCACGGCCCGCACACTGGCCGGGGTCCGCCCCGGCGGACCAACGTGGCGAGTGCTAGGTCTTCCCTCCGGGGCACGGATGCCGCGGCACAGGTACGGGGCGGCGAGGAGGCATCCCCACCGAGAGGCAGGAAGACGCCCGAGAAGGCACATGCTTCCTCGCCGCCAGCTTCGGCCCGGGTGGAAGCCCCCAGCAGGACGGCGACCGTGGCTCCCGCAGAACCCCCCGCTAGCCCTGCCCCACCTGGGTCGCGCCTCACCTGTCTGAGGAGGTAGCGGCGACGCGCGAGGCTGGAGGCTGCGGCGATTCCGGCAGCGGCTGGAGCGGCTGCAGCAGCGACGGCGGCAGACAATGGAGGAGTGAAGGACAGACACATTGACATCGACACACGGAGCCCGGCGCAGCCCCGCCTCCCGCGCCGCCCCCGCCTCCAGCCCGCCCCAGGCCCGGGCCGCGCCACTCTCGGGGAAAGGGGGGGGGATGCAGCGAGCGTCGGAGAAGTCGACACCCCCTCGACACCAGACCCAGACACATCCATTCCGCGGAGGGACTAGTGAATGTTTCCTGGGTCCAAATGTCTGAACGTGACAGGATACGGGTGGCGAACGTGCAAGAGGAATTTAATCCCCCCTCCGCGGGGCTCCAGGTGGTGGCGCCTCCTCGGGCAGTTCCAATGGGAGGCGCGGGCTGCCGCCTCCTGCAGCTCCTCCTCCCGCTGCCGCCAATGCCGCGCCGGGGGCGGGGCCTGCGGCCGGGCCTGCGGGGACGGCCCGAGGCTCGCCGGAGCTCGCCCGCTGCTCGCCGGCCCGGGAGGGAGAGGCGCCTTCAGCACTTCCGCGCCGGGCTCCTGGTGTCCAGGTCTCGAGGTGCCCCGGTGCGGCTGGCATTGCTCACGCTGACACGTCCTTTCTTTCCAGCACTTGCAGAGAAACAGAATAACCTTCAAGCTGGCGGGAGCAATGGTTCACATAAAGAAAGGCGAGCTGACCCAGGAGGAAAAGGAGCTGCTGGAAGTCATCGGGAAAGGTAGGGGTGCCGCACTGGCACCGGGGCTCTGCCAGTCTGACCGGGGGCGGAGAGGGGGGGTGTTGGGGGGGCGTGGCGCAGCCGGGGAGGCGCCCCTTGGCCTGACTGACCCCGGGCTGCAGTTCCGCGAGGTTAGAGCCTCCCCCGCCCCCCGCCCCCCACCTCCGGGAATGAGCGTTTCTCTCCGGTCTGGGACCCGAGGCGGGCGTAGAGGTGGGGAGGGCGAGGCTTTCAGGGGGATGAGCACAGGTTGCGGCGGTCCGTCCTCTGAATCAGCTCTTGGAAAGATACACATTTCCAGGTCCTGGCTCCGATTATAATTAGCCTCCCCCGGGTGTGGGCCCCAGAATATACATTCTTCAAAACGCCCCTGATGATTTTTACTACCATTCGTCTTGGCCACAGTGGCCTGGTAGTTTTAGGCTCTTAGACGGGTGTCTGAGGGCCGTTTCGACTTCCGGAGGCCGAAAGATCTGGATCCCTGGGATGTCCCCGCCTCCGATTGGGGGTGGAAGGAGCTCCTAAGGAGAACGGTTCTTTATAGGAGCGCAAAACTAGGTCTGAAGTGCGCTACGCTGAGCCCTCTGCGTCCTGGATCGCACCGGCTTCTTTTTGGGAGCCTCTAGAAGCCGCAGGATCCCGCAGAGATGCTAGGAGGTCGGCGTGGCGTCCACGCCCCTGGATGCACTGAGCACTGCTGGGATCGCCTTATCGCGCTCGTCCGCACTTTCCTTTTGACTCTCCCAGCTTTAGCCCCACTTCCGCCGTGGTTTTAGGGAGCGGGACACAGCCTTCTCGGGACGAACTAAAAACCAGTCCCCCCTCCTACCCTACCCCCCACCCCAGTCCCGGAGTGGAAGTCCCAGAGGAATTCTTTGCTAAGTCCCGTTACCTGGCAGGTGACATCAACGTGACTACGTGGCTTCTGCACCGTGACAGCGCGGGGAATGGGGTGCATAAGCTGCGGGCATAGTTAAATGTGGTTGTTTCAAGTTCCAGCATGAGCTGGCTCCGTGTGCTCTCGCATGGCCGAGAGGGCAATCACTGCGGCACAAAGGATTCCAAGTTTCCCGTCTTCTTTCTAAGTAGCCAGACTCAAATCTGGACTTCCAGCGAGTCAGGCAGTTTTATTCTTTATACTGACAAGGAAAAAAATAATGGAATTTGAACTCAACAAATGCTGGTGAACTGAGTCCTTGCCATTCTGATCTCAACACGTATAACTTGGTCACAGCTATTTATATAAAATCAGTGTCCTTTGCTTAGAATTGTGGAATTTTGAATTGATGTTTTTGTTTGTTCTGCACCGTTCTGGATAACCTATTTGGCATGGGTGTCTTTCTGTTCTGCCTGTCACTCTGGATAATTTCTCCCTGCCTTTCATGACTCTAGGATTGGGTTCAGCAAACATGTGAATCCCAGCTGTGTGCCAGGTACTGCGTTGGGCAAAAAACAGACAAATGATCAATTCACACTCCGCCAGAAATACAGATTGTTTTTATTCCGTCCAGAGCTATGCTGTTCTCTCAAAAGTCTAAGCTAGTGAACAACTTTATAAAATGGGTCTCTGAAAGGGTGAGAGAGTGTGTGTGTGTGAAATCCTTGGATATAATCTTAGGTGACCACCATATTTTATTTTGAAGATTAAATAAAACACTGAATTTATTCTGGTTAGTGCTGTACTATTTCTGGGCCCATAACATGCATCAAGTTGCACTTACTACATTTCACTGATTTAATTAGCCCAAGTCTATGAGAAAAGAATGCGATACATTCTTTTTAAATATTTATTTTATTTATTTATGCATACAAGAACTGGGGATAGGCCAGAGGTGGGGGTGGTGGTGAGAGGATTCACTAGAGACAGAGTGGGGAGCAGAACAGGTGGATCTACTGAAATACACTGCTGAGGGGAGCAGCAGGTAAGACAGGAGAGGTCTGCTTCACCATATGGGTTGGCTCCCTCCCTGGCCTGGGATTGAACTCAGGCAGAAAACTCAGGCCTCAGTGGCTGGTGATAGCTTGATAGTGCTGAGAATTTAACCCCTGTGCCACCAGGGAGGCTCTGATACATTCCTTTTAAATGAAGATCTGTGAGATATCACAGTACTTCTCAAAGAAAAGAAATGGGTAATATGAGGAAAGAACATAGCCAACATTTTTGAGTGTTATTATGAGCCAGTTATAATTTTAAGCTCTTTAGATGTATCCATTTCATCTCGATAAACTAGGAATCATGTTTAAGCAATAACATGAGAGAGCATGGGATGGTAGTTAACCCTAAAGATCTGGTTTGGAATCCTGCAGTCATTTGGTGATGTAGCCTTGGGCAAGTTACTGTTTCTGAGCTTCAGATTCTCCATGTGAAAACTGGTTCCCACATCACATCGCAACATTGTTATGAGGATGAAATGAGTTAGTATATGTAAAGCATTCATTTATTATGCATAAAGCATACTATTTATGTTGCCTGTTAATATGGTAATCTCCACTTTATAGACAAAGATACTGAGATATTGAGAAGTTAGGTAACTTGTCCAATGTCACTCAGGTAGTAAGTTGCAGGGCTGAGATATCAACTGGTCCATAATCCAAGAAATATACTGTACTTGAAAACAGGCTAACCAAGTGATGAAACCAGCCCCAGGTAGCAGTGAATCCTATATTCGCTTTGAAAGGCATTGTAATTTCAGCAAAACATGATCTGTCAAGTGATATTGATTTTAAGTTGAACTGTAATGATTGTGTACTTTTGTGTGCATTTAATTTGTAAAATTATTTGGTTTAGGGCCTCCCTGATGGCGCAGCGGTTGAGCGCTGGGTTGCGAAGCTACACGCAGCCTCTGCAGCGCCAGTTCAATCCCCCGCTGCTCCCCGGCCACCAGAGGAGGGTCCCACATGGCGCACAGACCTTTCCTGCCGCCCGCTGCTCCCCTCAGCAATGTACTTCGGTCCTTCTGCCTGCTCTGCTCCCCGCTCTGGCTCTGGTGAATTCTCTAACCCTCCCGTGCTTCTGACTGTACCCAGTGCTTGTATAAATAAATAAATAAATAAATAAATAAATAAATAAATAAATAAATCTTTAAAAAAATTATTCGGTTTATCGTTGAACAAATGTGATCAGCAAAATTTTAGATTTGTACTCAAAGCCATTTTTCAAAGCATGTTAGTGGATAGAGTTCTTATTATTTTTCCCCATTGGCACATTTCTCAACTTCGAGAAGTGCTACATGAGTAGTTTTAGTACTTGGAACTAACAATTTTCAGCCAAGTCTGACCTGTCATCTTATCTTATCTTATCTAAAATAAACTTATCAAATATTTGTGTGTCTCCCTTTTGCTAGTCACTGCCCTCCAGAAGTTAAGAAGACTATAGGTGGGAATTACAGACCAGAGCATACAGCTCATTGCTTTTGGGTACTTTTAGAACAGTTCCTCCTGAGAGAGTTCACTATTCTATTGATATGGTCTTGTAAATTCTTAGATAACTAATTTTTTTGCAGTGTTTCATAATCCCAACTTAAGGTCATTTTTGCTACAAAGTCTAAAAATAGTTTCAAGTAGAAGAACTTTCAGAAAACTCATGCTTAAATTAAGTTTCAAAACATGTTATAATTAGAAGTCATTAGTTTTAAAATATAGCTGTAACTTTATATCTGATTAAGCCAATATCGACATATTATTCTGTTAAAATTTAGAGATTTTAAATATTTTTACACATAAACATTACAGCAACTAATAAGCCAAACAGTTTTTAAATTCTTAACTTGCACATAGTCCTTAAAGTAATCTCTTTTAGGGGATTCCATTAAATAATTATTGAAACCCATTCATATCCAGATCGCATGGTATTCTGATGGAATACTGGGAGACACAGATTTGTTTCTCCCTTTTTGTTTATTTTGGCTACATTTACTGGTTTTCAACAGAGACTTAGAGTCCCAATCTGTATATTAGAAATGTCACAATGGATGATACTATGCTGTTCTGAATATAAAATATCTGAGCATCGAATATGTACTAAGGATTTCCTATATGCTCCACATTAGGACATGTTCTATGTACTCTCCAGAGTCCTCTGGAATGGGTACTACTATCTCTGCTTTCTACATGAAGAAAATGAGGGGTTTACAGTAATTGTTCTATTCATGGTGATTCTGAAAGGGCTACCATACAGATAGAAGAAAGGGTAATAACATCGTGAGAACATCTCTCTTAAAATTATGTCTTTGCTAAAATGCTGGTCCATCCAGTTAAGTTGATCAGTCCTACCCTAATCAGGTAGGTTAGGTTGTGTATATTCTTTGGTTTGAATAACTTGGAGAAATTCTCAAAAGGGAAAACAAATCATTAAACATTACTTTCATCATTTATAGGTCTGTTAATTTTTGTCTTCAATGAAGATTAATGGTGACTCATTTCATATTCCCTTTATAGTAGTGTATTTCTCCATCTTAAAGAGTTTGTTAAATCAGATTTAACTCCCTTCCCAGAGAAAAGCAATTTATCTCTTAATTGCAAAATATGGTTTGAGAGTCTGCAATAGACAGCAAGGAATAACAAAAAATAATAATCTTTCTGCATAAGCCATGTGTTTTATGTTGCTGGACTATTCCCAACCTCCTATAGTTTCCTACTAATGTCGTTAAGAGCACCAAATTAGAAATCACTGCAAGTTTTCTCTTGGGGCATTTTGCTCATTTATTATTCAAAATATTTTCATTTTCTAGAAACTCAAACCATTTCAGAAAAATTTTCTCATTCTGGTTTCTGCATTTCAAAAGACTGAGATTCAGTGTAGTGTGACTGCACACCACATCTTTTTTTTTTTTTTTTTTTTTTTTTTTAAGTTGCTCCCTTTCTGGACAGATTTAACTTACATTGTTGGCCAGAATCATTGACCTGTTCTCTAAAGTGAGCCAAATGTTTATGACTGTAATTCCCTTCCTTCTCCTAACATGTAGCAGGTTTTGACTTGCTCACAATCCCTATTGTATTCTCACTTTACTCATTAACATCTCCTGGTCAATGGAAAATAATTTCAGTTATTTCTCAGTGGATAATAAGATTCTGCTGAAGCAACTTCCTCAAGTGGATTCAGGGTGTGGATTGTTGTTTTTTTTTTTATTTTTTTTATTTTTTTTTTTTATTTATAATTTTTTTTTTTTTTTTTTTTATAGAGGCATGTTTTTATTTATTTATTTTATTTGTTTGTTTGTTTTGTTTATACATGCACTGGGTACAGACAGAAGCGCGGGAGGGTGAGAGAATTCACCAGAGCCAGAGTGGGGAGCAGAGCAGGCAGAAGGACTGAAGTACACTGCTGAGGGGAGCAGCGGGCGGCAGGAGAGGTCTGCGCACCATGTGGGATCCTCCTCTGGTGGCCGGGGAGCAGCCGGGGATCGAACCGGCGCCGCAGAGGCCGCAGGCAGCTTCGCAACCCAGCGCTCAACCGCTGCGCCACCGGGGAGGCCCTGTTTTTTTTTTTTTTTTTAAAGATTTATTTTATTTATTTATACAAGCACTGGATACAGTCAGAAGCGCGGGAGGGTGAGAGAATTCACCAGAGCCAGAGTAGGGAGCAGACAGGCACAAGGACCGCGAAGTACACTGCTGAGGGGAGCAGCGGGCATGGCAGGAGAGGTCTGCGCGCCATGTGGGACCCTCTTCAGGGCCGGGGATCAAACTGGCGCTTCAGAGGCTGTGGGCAGCTTCGTAGCCCAGCGCTCAACTGCTGCACACCCAGGGGAGGCCCTATTTTTTTGTTTGTTTGTTTGTTTGGTTTAATTCCTCTATAAAGATGTTTGAGAGTCTATGAGAAGTCACAGATATTTATGATTTTCTATGTAGAACTTTCTTCCATGGTCTCAGGCTTTCCCTTCTCATTCTGCAACCATCCAGCCAGTTATACCAATTGCTCTCTGTTGGAGTACAGGGTCAGAAAAATGCACTATTTACAAAGTAGTTGCTATCATAATTCAGGAATTTGTAGTTTATTTACTTGACATATCCCTAGTAGAGCTATTTCTTTCTTTTTTTTTTTTTAAGATTTATTTATTTATGCATACAAGAATGGGGAAACAGGCCAGAGGTGCGAGGGGTAAGAGGATTCACCAGAGACAGAGGGGAGCAGAACAGGCAGATTGACTGAAATACACTGCTGAGGGAGCAGCGGGCAAGTCAGGAGAGGTCTGCTGCGCCATGTGGGTTGCTCCCTGGCCGGGGATTGAACTCATGCTGCAGTGGCTGCGGTAAGCCCCATGGGTTGCGTCTTAACCCCTTGCGCCACCAGGGAGGCCCCATCTTTGTCAATAAAAGAGACATTTCTGTCTCCCCTCTATTGCTGAGGGTCATTGAGGTGACTTACCTAAGAAGCAGGTCAGGGAGAAGAGAAGCATGCTAATCTTTATTCTACATATCATCTTTAATTCCCGAAGACTAGCAGAATTCAGCACATTCTGCAACTGTAATTCTCAATTTGAGGAGAAGAAATAATTCCTAGTTGGGCATTTTTCTATTCTTTTATGTCTTTTGTAGGGAAGAGGCTTATCTCATCCTTTTGCCCTGAGAACATCCAATTTCATTGTTCACTTCCCAGTCAAATCAGAAAATTTTTGGCAGATTGTATGACTGGCTCTTATTAAAGATGATAATAGCAACATTCTCTTCTGCAACTCACTTGCCTCTGTCAGTATATGTAACAGAAGACCGGAAAAACCTGACAGTTATAGCCTAATTACAGCTTATTTCCAAAGTTATAGAGTGCTGACCCTAAGGTTTATATTAGCTGACTTTCAGTATGAGACTGAATATGAACCATAGGGCACTTTTATGTAGTACCAGACTTTAAAGATGTGTTTATCTATGCAGTTCTAAACCAAGCATTCTATTATAAGCATGCAATCAATTCACAGGGCCTAGTGGTGGCAACATATATAAATACTGACTGTATTTTGAACTCCAGTTATTACATTGACTGGAATTTACGTTTTAGATGGTGGGTTGGACTAGATGCCCTTTAAGATGTGTTTCAGTATTCTGTCTTGTCCTTTGTGGTAATTGTGTTACTGCCAAAAAAAAAAAAAGTGTGGACAATTTAATATACTTTAAGGCTAGTGAAAGTAAAAACAGTATGGAGCTCTTTTACTTTCTTTGAACCTATTGGTCTGGGTAAATATGTTATGGAGTACATAGTTTGTGATTAGATGCTTTATTTCTTAGTAAACTAACTAGTCTTGGTTTTGTAGATAACCCTTTAAAGTTTGTTTCCTTGATCTTAGATTTTTTCCATTTTAACGATAAATACCTAAATAACTTTATTTTATCTTTTTATTAAAGGTACTGTTCAAGAAGCTGGAACATTATTAGCCAGCAAGAATGTCCGTGTTAACTGTTTGGATGAGGTAAGATTTTTAAAAATTTTACTACATACAAGAATGGATAGTATATAAAATCTAATAGTAAGAGTTTGTTTTTGCTCAAGTTAAATTAATCTCAAAACCAAATGTAAGCAGACATGTAAGCAAAAGAAAAATAAGCATGTAAAAACCATGTTTAATTTTATTATTAATCAAATAAGTGCAAACTAAACAAAATATATTTCTTATGAAGTATGAGAAACAAAGTTCTGTGTGGTAATAGATTAGATGTATATTGGCATCACATTTTGGAGACAATTTTAGAATATGTGTCAACTTTAAGTGTACATATATTTGACCCCAAAATTCTACTTTTAGGGAATGTTAACTAAATCTAAACTCAATTTTCCTGAGCAGGTGCTATGCAAAATATCTTTCTGAAAGGATAGGAATGTCTATTCTCAGCCATCCAGTATGGCAGCCATTAGCCATGTGTAGTAGCTACCCTATTATACAGCATGGCTTTAGTACTAGAAAGTTAACTGAACTTAAGTTCCTCATGCAAAAGGGGAAGGGGTCTTGTTAATGTGTTATCCACACATGGGTAGTAAAATATCAGAAAAAAAAATTTAAAGCAAAAAAACTAATAGATGAAGTCTCCTTATTATAGATTAATAATCCAAAAACATGTATATCTTAAACCTCCACTGATAAGATAATACACCCTTGAGATTCATTTTGAAAAGGTAGAATTCAGGGGCCTCCCTGGTGGCGCAAGGGCTTAAGTTGCAGCGCTATGAAGCTATCCTGCAGTCATTGCAGCACAAGTTTGATCCCCAGCCAGGGAGCTAACTCACATGGCACAGCAGACCTCTCCTGTGCTCCCCTCAATAGTGTATTTCAATTAATCCACCTGTTCTGTTTCCCACTCTATCTCTGGTGAATCCTCTCACCCACCCCCCCGTACCCTTGGAATGTACCCCAGTTCTTATATGCATAAATAAATAATTTTTTTTTAAAAGGTAGAATTCAAAAGGAGAATTTAGTAAGGCCACAATAATATCTTTCAGAAATCAATGAGTAGAAAAAAATGACAGAAAATTTGGATAACCTAATTAACATTTTATGCACTATATGAAAGACAGAAAAAAATGGTACATCTCCTTTTTCCATGGATCGTTGATAAAAACATGTTTTATAAAGGGAATTTTAGTTAATTTCAACAAGTTCATTGAACTCAGAATAATACTTTGAAAATGAAACTATGCTCCAAATAATAAGACATATAACTTGATATATTATTTAATCCAAATCATCTTTGTATAAAAGAAGAAATAGAAGTAGAAGTTGCCAGTGATTTAGAATTGAAAATGCAACATTAATCAAAAGCTGTGTTACGTGTCTAAAGTGATAGAGAAAATTTTGTAGCTTTTGTTATACTTTCAATCTTTGTGGTATTTCTCAGGTTTTAACTCATGAAATTAGAATAAAAAGAGTAAGGAATACTCAGAAAATAGAAGAAAGGAATTAAAAAAAGTGTAACAGTAACAAAATTTTAAAAGCCATCAAGAATACAAGAAACAAAAGATAAATTGGAACTCCTCAAAATTAAAAACTTGTACTTCAAAGCATGCCATCAAGAAACTGGAAAAAGTTCGCACAAGTTTTGCTAATTATATCATATTAAGAACTCCTACAACTCAATAATAAAAAGAACAAATAACCCTAAAACAAATGAGAAAAGGATCTGAATAGACATTGCTTCATAAAAGACTGGAAATAACCAATATACACTTTAAAAATGCTCAACATTAGCTGCTAGGGAAAAGCAAATCAAAACAGCAATAAGATACTACTTCATATCTACTAAGATGCCTGTACTCAAAAATGTAGATGATAACAAGTATTGTTGAAGATGTGGAGAAATTGGAACCCTCAGGCATTGCTGATAGGAATGTAAAACATTGTAGCTTTTGTTATACAGTCTGGCAATTCTTCTGATGATTAAACATAAAGTTACCACATGAATAGCAATTTGAAGTATGTACCTAAGAAAAATGAAACCCATATCAGCTCAAAAAACTTGGCAATGAATATCTACCAGCTGATGAGTAGATAAACAAAATATCCATACAATGAAATATTATTTAGTCATAAAAAGGATATTTCTGCAGTTCAACAAAAATAAAATAGATGAATTTGTTAAATAGCTTCACTATATCCTATGGTAGAAATACACCATATAGAATTACACTAACCTTTTGATAGGCATTCTATTTATTTTGAGGGTTTTTTCCTTAGGGTTATTTTGTTGTTATTGTTTTGGTATGCATTTGTTCTCTTTTTCATTTGTTCTTGTTCCCCTGGGAGCTGATAATATGTGTAGAAATGAGCGCTTTGATAAACCTGGGATCCAATCCTTGCCCTGCCATTTTTTTAGTCACATGAGTTTGAACAAGTAATCTTTTTGCTAATCGTAGAAAAACCTCAGGTAATAACTCTTTTTTCTCAGTGGTGTATGAAAGAGCCAACAGAAGAAATAAACATAAAAATATAGAGTATGAAAGTTGTTTTAGTACCTTATATGTATTTTGTTTTTAATTGACTAGCAGGACTTGCCCATAGATGGGGGGAAAATTAAGTAATTGGTATATTTTTTCTCTCTATTAAAGAATGGAATGACTCCTCTCATGCATGCTGCATATAAAGGAAAGCTTGATATGTGCAAATTACTTTTGCGACATGGAGCCGATGTAAATTGTCATCAACATGAACATGGATACACAGCCCTCATGTTTTCTGCTCTTTCTGGTGAAGTTTTAGCATTTATTCTAAAATACTAATATTGGTCGCCCATACAGATTTGTTTTAAGTTCGTGTCTCTTAAAATGAAATGCATTTTTATTATAGTAATTTTAAGATCAATTCTTATGAAAAGGAATGGTGGAAATTGGTTTTTGAAAAGCTATAATGTATGCAATGTATTATAGATGTATGAAATATATGTTATATAATTAATTTGGTGATATGTTATTTAAATCAATTGAGTCCTGTTATTGTCAATTTTTTGTAAACAATTGAAGGGCTGGACCCTTTCAAGTTAGTTCCTATGTCTTCATATTTTGAGGAAATATGCAAATTCTTTGTTTTCTTGAGAAAATATCTGTTGTGTACATTTATTTAAAAAATTATTCTAAAAATTGTCAAGTTAAAATAAATAGCTATTGTAATAGAAGTGTCTGCTTTCACAGGCACTTAGGTATTAAATAAAATGATCCATTTAGGAATATAGTCTGATTCAAGATGCTTATTACTTGCTAAATAAAAACAATTGTGGGATACGTGAATTTACCTATATTTGTTGCAGTTTCTTAAGAAAATAATGATGTGATATGATATGATATAATACTTTAAAAGTGTAATAATCTGTGTTTTGATAATCCCAGAATAAGAAATCATTTCTAAACATGACATCATGCCTAGAGCAGTCCACATCGATCAGTTTGATTACCTCAAAATTTAACATTTCTGTATATTGAAGATACCATAGAGAGTAAAATACAAGCAAAAAACTAAGGAAAATATTTATTATATATATTAAAGGGTCATAGCATTATATATGAGGAATTTTTACAAATAAATTATTAAAAGACAAATACTGCATAGAAAATTGGACAGAAATTTGAACAGAGAACAAAAGAAATACAAGCTCATGAACCTACAGAACATTTTAATAATCAGAGAAATGCATATTAGAACATTAAAATGATCATTTTTCACTTACATTGGCAAAAAGAGAGAATGATAATGCCCAGCACTGCCTTAGGAACTTCTTTGCACCGATTTGGGTAGTACATGTCAGCCCCACCACTTGGGAAGGCAGCCTGGCAAAATGTATATAAAGTATGCATAACCTTTGATCCTGTAATATTTTACAGCAACTGTTTGTAAGGAAATCAGAATTCAAACTTGCAAACCAAATCAAACTAACAAAAATTAATTAAGAATAGATTAGAACAGCAAAATATCTGTAATGATTCCAATAGTGAAAGAATGCACTATGAATCCTAAGTCAGAAAAAAATATAGAGGTAGATTTCCCAACTGTTATTGATTATTCCAGGGCCTGTCATTGTGAGTGATAGGATAGGTTAGTAGCTTTCAAGAGGGACTTCTAATCATTTTAGCTCTTCTGTCTTATTTTGATACTTTTTGCTTTTTTTTTTTTTACTTTATACTAAGCGTGTCTTTAAGAAAAATATGATTTTTCCTTAAAAAGTGATTCTCAATTCCATGCTATTTTTGTATTTCCTGATATATTTTCCAGCAAATAAAGTTAAATCTGAGTGGGTTTTTATAGCATTTTACTCTTAATTATAGTGATGATTTATATTTTAGAAAATGAGATGGAAATGTAAAACTAAGGGGGCGGGGAAATAGCACAGACAATTTAGAAGTGGTTATTGGAATTGTGTGTGCCTTAATTTTAACAGATAAGTTTTCTTTTAACTCTAGGTAACAAAGATATCACGTGGGTGATATTGGAAGCTGGTGCTGAGACAGATGTTGTCAACTCGGTGGGAAGAACAGCTGCTCAGATGGCAGCCTTTGTGGGTGAGGTATTTTTTTTAAAGATTTATTTATTATGCATACAAGACCTGGAGTACAGGCCAGAGGTGTGGGGGGTGAGAGGATTCACCAGAGACAGAGTAGGGAAACAGAACAGGCAGACTGACTGAAATACACTGCTGAGGGGAGCAGCGGGTGAGACAAGAGAGGTCTGCTGCGCCATGTGGCTAGCTCGCTGGCCACCTGGGGATTGAACTCGTGCTGCAAAGGCTGTGGACAGCTTCACAGGCTGCGCCTCAACCCCTTGCGCTACCAGGGAGGCCCTGTGGGTGAGTTTTTAATGGCAGTTTTAATTTAGGTTTAACCCACAATTTCCTCCTGAAAAAGTGCCTCTTCACTTATGGTATAAACATTGTCTTGTCTTTTTTTTCTTTTAAAAATAAAAAACAAAGTGTTTACAGCCCACTGGGTTTTGTCTAACTTAATAAAATACCTGTTGGCACTTTGGAGGTAATGAATAGCTATTTTGAATTTTTACTTTGTGAGATACAGGGAATAGTGGATCCACTTTAGTTGTAACCAAATGCTTGAGTGAGTATGTTCTTATTTTGCTAAGGGAAGTAGTTTAACCTAACGTTTAAGAACAGGAATGGTGGAATCGGCAATCCTAGGTTGAAATTCTGACTTGTGCTAGTTAATAGCAAGTTACGAAATGATTCCGGCCTTTAGTTTCCTCACTGTAACAGGATTGTATAGTTGTTGAAAGGATTAAAATGAAATGAGAGGCTTAAAGAGCTTTATATGTAGCGCTAAATAAATGCCATCCTATACTATTGTAAATAAAAAGTACATGATGCAATTCTTTCATAGCAAGGAGCATAATAACAAACTAATATATAACTGTTTCATAATCTTCCTTATCATTTTGCCTGTTAACTTTTAAAATTTGAAACTTTCTGTAGTCTGTGAAAGTCCATTTACATACTGTGATTAGCCTGCTTAATTTAATTTATGTGTACTTGTATGGTGGCTGTGGAAGTGGTTGATGTCAGTACACATCCCACCAAAGAAACTATCATTGGAGGCTTTCCATAGGAGTCCAGTAAAGCTGACAGGTTCCAATAACAATGGAGGGCAGTGCCAACATCTCCATACCTGAAGGCCTAGGGTCAAGAAGCCAGCAGATAATTCATCATATATTGAGGTACAAGCTGGAAGCCGTTTTAGTCTTGAGTTCTTCAGCAACTTCGAGGGCAGCTGAGTCCTCAGCTAGCCTCAAGTACCAGGATCAGCCTGGTCCACAGTGTACTTCCTTTGCAGGTCACCTCTTGTCAACAGGATCAAGCAGATGCTTCTAGGACCCTGTACATGTGGGAAGGGGCCACGTCAGCCTCCCACAGCAGACCATTCTCAAAGAGCTCAGTGTCAGCCCCCTCCCTAAGACTCTCCACCACTAGTCTCTCAACCCTCATTAGGCAGAGAGGAGGAAGTCTCTTCTCCAGAGAGCTCAAAAAGCCTGGGCCTGCAAATGTGCCCTGCAAATTCTGACTTCATGCCAACAGAGACCATTTACTTGCTCCAGACAGTAAGTGGAGCAGTAATGGGGAGGGGGAAACAGCAGGACACACTTTCAAGCCACCAGCTTGACCAGGAAAGGCCTGTTTTCATAGAACCACATTTACCTCTTGAGATGACTTAGAGATGAGGCTCAGGGAGCTATGAGAAGCCATGTGTGGTAGGGAAGCAAAAAGCTTTTATTCTAGGTTTTACATAAAGACAAACCTTATCTCAAATTCAAGGGGAGAGATGAATTTTCAATATTAGTACTTATTTTAATAATAATAAAATAACTTTATATGGAATAAAATGCTATTGAAAGAAAAATCTGATATGGTTAGGAAAGTATGATCATCATTTGTGTAAGGGCAGAAAAGAGACATTTATATTACAGCTTTTATAAAATATTTAGGATCAATATTTTTTACTCTCCTCATCTTCCTCTAATCTCCTTCCCTGAAAAAAAATCGATACATGTCTGCTAGGAAACATGGCAATATAATTAATAAAAAATTAGAAAATGTCTTATATTTAATAATGAAATACTGAATTTCCTTTTTTTATTAAAAGGTCAACATGATTGTGTGACTATAATCAACAATTTCTTTCCTCGGGAGAGACTGGATTATTACACTAAACCCCAGGGACTGGATAAAGAGCCGAAATTACCCCCAAAATTGGCAGGCCCACTGCACAAAATTATCACCACCACAAATCTTCATCCTGTCAAGGTAGTGTGTTTATTATATTTGCTTTAAATTTAAATAATGCTTCAACCTTTAATAAGGGTTTAAACTGCTCTGATTATGTGGGATAAGTGTCTTGGGCTTTATAAATGTAGAGCTTGTGATGGGCTATCTTGTTGAGACAGTTAGAGATGGAAAGCATGATGGGCTCAGGAGGGAAAGGAAGGCAGAGGTGGGTTCAGCTGAAACCTAGTTTCCACCTCATCTCACGGGCAGTTGTGGACCACTAGTGACTCTGGAAGAGGCATCATCTGCCTTGGTGGAGGGCTTTTTCCAGAGGGAAAGGACAGTCTTCCAGAGAGGAAAGTGAGTGGCTCCTTTAGATGAAGACAGGAGAAGGAGGGAGCCCAGGCTGGGGCCAGATGCTGAGGTCTGGTAAAGGGGATCTGGGTGGGGCACTAATAGCACCTTCTGCAATAATTATCCTTCCAGGAAATGTTCTGAAACATAATCATGAACACATTTTTTAATGCAAATAGTTACTTGATGCATTTAGTAATATAGTTCTTTCATAGTTACTTAAATCACAGATTTTCAAAGTTCATAGACCAATCTGTAAATTCAAATGGCTTAACTAGGAAATTTGAAGAGCCATTCTGAACTATTTTTCATTGATTTTTTTTTTCATATTTTTAAAGAGCCATTTTGTTTGTTTACAAATGATTTTTTAAAAATCAGTCCAAATGAATATAATTTCTTCAGTGAGTCATCACAGAAAATTTCATGTATACAATACTGATACTGTCCTTTTTTCAAATGTCAGTGTCATGTATCTTCATTTGTGTTGTATAGATTTGATAGCATTTCAGAGCAATTTGGGTCAAATATTGAGGTTTTTCTCTTAATATAATATGTAACCATAATATAGTAAAATAGATTTTCTCAGAAATAACTCTTTTGAAGACTAAGAAGCTATAACTTCTTAGTACACAGTCTTATTTCTTTATTGCTACATCTTTTTGTATACAATTGTTGAAGCTTAAGGAGCAAACAAACCAATAAAAACATCTGTCATGTAGCCCTTTACTCAGATTAATAACCTGGGCCTTCACGAGAAATGATAAATTAGCAGATCCTTTCCCATAAGACAGACAAGTGGAATCTATTGTTTTTTGATTTTCTAAGTTACTCTATGATATCTAAATGTGGAGCTGGGAGGAAATGCATAATAATAGCACATCATTTGCTTTCATCTGCTCTTGTCAAAAAATCCCATAGACTGGGTGGGTTAAACAACAGAAGTTAATTTCCTCACCATTTTGAAGGCTGAGAAATCGAATCAAGCCGCTGTTGATTGGGTTTCTGGTGAGGGAAGGAAGCTTTCTGGCTGCTAGGAAGCTTTATTTTCTTTGTGACCTCAGATGGTAGAGTGAGAGAGTCAGTTCTCTTATGTCTTCTCTTTCTATCATATCAGGACCCCACCCTGATGATCTCATTTAACTTTAATTACCTCCTTACCTATCTCAGAATACATTCACATTAGAGGTTAGGGCTCAATATATGAGTTTTAGGAGGACACAGTTCAATTCACAGAAGCATTATATACCATTTCCACCATACAGCTGTAATACACGATCATAATGATAGTAGTAATGTAGAAGAATAATTAAGATGTGATGAGTTTTTAGTAGTTGTTACTTTTGTTTTGAATATACTCTAATTGTAAATTTCTATAATTTAATTTTTAATATGGGCTGTATTTAACAACTACTTCTCAAGATTCCTGCAGTTTTTGTGATTGGCTCTCTGGAGTTGATATTAGCTAGTTCCAGCACACCATAGCCATTGAAAATTAGTACCCAAGCTGGTATTAAAACCCATGTATGTGTCTGTCTGTCTTATCTATTTACCTACCTACCTACCTGCCCATACATATATATTAAATTGCAATATAATTGACATATCACATTTATTTGTTTAATGTGTACACTATATATTTGTATATAGTGTGAAATAATCACAATGTCTAGTTAACATTTATCACCATAGTTATAATTTTTTCCTTATAATGAGAACTTTTCAGATTTACTCTTATAATGTTTATATTTCAAAATACAGTTTTAAAAGGATTTACTTATAAAGCTTAAAAAAAGATCTACTCTCCTAGCAACATTCAAATATGCCTTATAGTATTAACTATAGCCCCTATACTGTTCCTACTGAAACTTACTATTTTATATGTATTTAAAAAAAAACAATTTGTACCTCTGTTTTAACTTTATAAAATTCAGTATTTTACTGAAAGAATCCTAAATGGGCAAACAAAAAAAAATAAGCCATAAATTGCATGTTTGCATTTCTGGTGGAGATTATAAAGAACTCATAATTAAACTTTTAAAAAATATCTCACCTCTTCTGTGTTACTGTTTCTCCCTCCCACATGCAGGAGAATTCCCCTAAGTAGTATCTCCCTCTCCATGGTGCTCTTTCTTTTACACTGGGTGGAGTAGAAAGTATTTTTCCCAAGGATATAATATTTCTCAATGGAGAATTTGTATGGTTTTGATGCCCTTGTTCTCTCTCCAGTCTGAACATTATATGAAATTAGAGCTTATATTAATTTGAAGAAGTTTCCCTATATTTTTCTTATTCACTGTCTTTGTGTCTGTGCTTATTTCCCTTGAGATTGCAACTATCACAATATAGTAATAATTGAGTCTGTAGAGTAATTTTTCATGTTTACATGGAACTTAGTCTCTCAGGATTAAATGCCCTAAGAAATATTATACTTCCAGTTATCTTTAAAGGTATATATTTTGAGTAAATTAGGCATATTTATACAGGTAAATTGTACAGATACGAAAACTGAAATAGCCTACCTTATATATTTTTAGAGCATCTGGTCTTATAATAGAGATTATTCTATGATTGTATTACCTTCTTTTAGACCAGACCTTGTTCTCTGAGGTATAGATGATCCAGTCAACTTGAAAGCCTTTCTATTTATCCATACTTAGGATAAAGCTTAGCCAGTTGCTTTTGTGGTGGTGCATTTTCTTTGCTCTACCCTGTTTCAAGCTGGCATGGGTCTTTATAGGGAAAATTATAAAAAATAACTGTAACAGCCACACTCTGAAGCCAAAGCCTTTTCAAATAAGCACAGAAAATTTTCTCAGTATGCAATTCACCTTTTGGCTACAGTACACCTAAGACAGCTGCGTCCAGGTTAAGTGGCTGCTATAGCAATAAGGTGCTTGTTTTCAAAAGGGACTTTGGGAATTGTGCTGATGCCCAGATTACGGAGGTTATAAAGGAGAAAAACAGAATGACAGGGAAAATGGTAACAGAGTTATGCAGATTCTATCAATCATCAGGAGGCAGAGTGTGTAAGTGATCCTGTCTTTGTTAACATGATTTTTCAGCCTCAGATTTTTGACTAAATGTTTTTTAAAATGGGATCTAAAAACATAAAAAATTCAAAATGCCACTGTATAATATTTTAAGGTAGCACTTCTTTAGGCCTTGAGACATATCAGGCTTTTTTTTTTTTTAAGATTTATTTTTATTTATTTATAGAAGCACTGGGTACAGTCAGAAGCGCGGGAGGGTGAGAGAATTCACCAGAGCCAGAGCGGGGAGCAGAGCAGGCAGACTGAAGTACACTGCTGAGGGGAGCAGCGAGGTGGCAGGAGAGGTCTGCGCACCATGTGGGACCCTCCTATGGTGGCAGGGGAGCAGCCGGGCATCGAACCGGCACTGTAGAGGCTGCGGGCAGCTTCACAACCCAGCGCTCAACTGCTGCGCCACCGGGGAGGCCCCATATCAGGCTTTTAAAGCATATAGGAATACATTCATTACTTCTTAAAATTAGTAATATATTTATCATAATGCTACAGAGATTTATATTAGTTCAAATGTTATTCTTTTAGGTGCAACTATGTAAAGTTTCAGTAAGCTCATTATAGAGCTATGATGGTTATTTATCATTTTTCTTTGTGTATGTTGCTGTGTATTATAAAAATAACTAAATTCTAGTATCTTTTAAACCAAAGAATTCACTGTCTGGATTTTGTTGAGATTTTTTTTTTAAAGAACTCCCAGTTGTACATTTAAGATGCTATGGTTTGATTGTAAATACTGTATATGAAAATGTTAAGCAAACAGCTTCATATAATTGCTGTTGACAGCAGAGGTATAAATAGGTAATTAATGAGTGTTCTCTGCCACAAGATAATATTTTATATGTGTTATTGTGGGGAAAGTTGACAGCAAATTTACCAGTATGGATTCTGATCATACTTCATGAAGTCTAATAATTTGTTTTTGAGTGCTGTATATTAAATAAATACTAGATTACTCATCAATCAAGAATAGCTCAAAATCACATTTTAATTTCACAGGACTACTTCATCTATGTTATATTTCTGAGTAGGAGGCAAAGTGTAGGTTTTATTTAAGTTAACAAATAATCTGTCTTCATGCGTAAAGTGAAGGATCTAATTCATCTGTTATTCCCAAATATTTACATTACCCTGAATAGGTATGTACTAGCTTAACCACCACTGATCACTTTTTGTTCTATGCGTGCATTTGTGCCCACCTTACATGTTTACTTTATTGTTGTCACTGTGGATTTTTATAGTTGTCTTATTCAGACCTCCTTAAGGTTATCTACCCTATAACAAAGCCATGAATTAACTATTCTGTTACACTATATTTGAGCTGAATTTGTGCATACATGGAAAGTGTGAACTCATGCATCAGATTAGATAATATGCTGATATTGCTTTAGAACCTCTTTATCCTTTCCTTTCTGAACTGTTCTCATTACTGTAGATTATTAGGAGCATATTAGGAAAATTTCCATAGAGAAATACAGTTAATTGGAAAGCAGTATATATCCTTTGTTTTAAACTTCTTTCTGTAAAAATCTCATTTCCTTATAATTAATAAGAATTAATGAGATTTGCGTTTCTTATAGCTCAGTAATATTAACTGAAAGTAGTGATCAGTGACTTGCTACTATATATAAAGAGAATGTAAATGGGCCATGTTTTGTCTTTAGTAAAAGTGCTTTTAGCAGTCAGTAAATCCTCGGCTCTGAGTGGAATACCAACATCTGCATGGTGTTGGTTTAGCTGCATGGCAGATCACATGAGAATTTTGATATTACAGAGTTCAAGAAATTTCATGATATCATCATCCTTATGTTTCAATTTTATAGCTTTGATCAATGGCAATTTGCATTCTGATTTGAAGTAACATAGTAAATATATGTTCCTTAGAAAGACTTAATATGGTAATCTCTTGAAGTCAACCAAAACTGACTACCTAATTTGTACATGGAAAAGTCTTGTGGAATTTCTGAGTTCACTGGAATTTCTTCTAGATTGTGATGCTTGTAAATGAGAATCCTCTGCTGGCAGAAGAAGCAGCTCTGAATAAATGCTACAAAGTAATGGATTTGATATGTGAGAAGTGTATGAAGCAAAGAGACATGAATGAAGTATTGGCTATGAAAATGCACTACATCAGCTGTATCTTTCAAAAATGTATTAGCTTCTTAAAAGACGGAGAGAATAAACTGGACAGTCTGATCAAAAGGTACTGTTTTTACAAAGTCACATATAAAATATACTCAAATTGTTAACATCTTAATATATGAAGCCTCATTATAAATTTAAAAATTAAACATTTTAGTGGCAACTGTTACTGTTGATTATATTTAGTCTGTAAAAAATGAGAGCCGTATTACTGCCTCTTGAGTGTCTTAGATTGAGATTATCTAGATTAGGTGATTATTTCTACACAAATGTTTTGTTACGCCCAAATTATAGGTGAGGAATCTGAGGTTTGGAGAAGTTAAATAGAGTGTACAAGATGGCACAGTTTAGAAGGGCCTCTCAGTGAGCGCTATCACCTTGATGGGTCACCATGATGGCAGCCTAACTTCAATCCCCAGCCAGGAAGCTAACCCATATGGCACAGCAGGCCTCTCCTGTCTTGCCCACTGCTCCCCTTAGCAGTGTATTTCAGTAGATCCGGCTCCTCTGCTCCCCACTCTTCTTCTCTGGTGAATCCTCTCACCCCTCCTTACCCCCCTCACCTCTGGCCTACACCCCAGTTCTTGTATGCATAAATAAGTTAAATAAATAAAAATCTTACAATAAAGGAATAATTCTTTAAAAAAAAATAGAAGGTCACCCAATTCAAATTGGAGGATAGGTGTGCTGTGCATTAGGCTGCTGCTCAGAAGTCAATATATCTGTTCCTGTACCTGGGAGTCATGTGTTAACCTTGTTCTCTGACCACCAGGGATCAAATTCTCTTTTAGTTTTACTGAGAAAAGTGAACTAAGTTAAAAGGGTGTGACTTGATGAGAGTTTTTATTGTACAAATAACTGACATGGTAATGAGTAACTAGCTAATTCAATAAACTTTTAATGTTTTAGGGCAGGGATCACTTTTGTAAATACACCATGGGCCCCTAAACTTGGTAAGGCTTAGCCTTACATGCAGGTAAACAGCAATTAAACTAATTCAATAATGATTTGAAGAGACAATGAAAATCTTAGTAGCAAAGAAGAAACTACTAAAACGTTCATGGGTTCATCTGGGAGGAAATGCTTAATGATTCAACTGCAGTAACATTTTATAAAACATCTTTTCAGCTTATTAAAAGGCCGAGCTCCTGATGGCTTTCCAGTCTATCAAGAAAAGATCATTAGAGAAAGCATCAGAAAATTTCCTTATTGTGAAGCTACACTCCTCCAGCAGCTGGTGCGAAGCATTGCTCCTGTTGAAATTGTAAGGCTCCTTGTAACTAAGTTAACTCTTCTAGTAAGACATAATTGCCATATTTTGTACAATTAGAGGCAAGTTTTCTTTAACATTTATTTTTGAAAATTTTCAAGAATAAATGTAGAGATAGGTTTGCACATTAACTCTTTCCTATTTGTCTATTTCTGTTCCCGTGATCCTATTCTTACATTTATATAGCTTGTGACTTAATAAACAATATTTCCCTGTGTTGGAAAGTAATTGGATATAGTGGAGGTTTTTAAGTTCTTCTGTGAAACCTTTAAGGTTGGGTATACGTCCGCTATAATGCATAGAGATGTACCCTTGCAGGTTGTGAAAAATTGGCACAAAGTCCTACACTTGACTGAGTATGTTGATGATCATCAGGCAGAGAGAAATTAGAGATGAGCTATGGGAAGACTCATTATATGTCTTGATAAACAATCTCAAAGGGTATCCAGCTCCTTCTGTTCTACCTTAGTGGCTCTACTTAAATTCTCCATACTTAAAAAATCTCTTTGTACTGTCCAGCTATGGGAAATGAATTGGCTCATTTTATTACTGTTTAAATTACTGACCTTTTGCTACATATTTATTTAAACAGTATTTCACAAGACACTCCTTGCCTTCCCTATTTTTTATAAAAGATTTATTTATTTATTTATGCGAGCACTGGGTACAGTCAGAAGTGCGGGAGGGTGAGAGAATTCACCAGAGCCAGAGCGGGGAACAGAGCAGGCAGACTGACAAAGTACAATGCTGAGGAGAGCAGCGGGCAGCAGGAGAGGTCTGCGCGCCATGTGGGACCTTCGCCGGTGGCCAGGGATGGAACCGGTGCTACAGAGGCTGCCGGCAGCGGCAGCTTCGCAGCCCAGCGCTCAACCGCTGCGCCACCAGGGGAGGCCCTTGCCTTCCCTATTTGAATAGGTTTCTGTTCACCTAATCTACACCAGTCATACTTTAACACATTGCAATCTAATCCTTTATCAGCTTTTGTCTATTAGGCAAAAAATCCATCCTGACATTGCTTCCTCCCTCCCTCTGGCAATTCTTGTTCTTCTCTGCCTTCTCCATACTGTTACACACATCTACACATTCTAATTGAGAAAAATCAGGACTAGACAGGAGTTCTAGGTGCCCCCTTTTACATTAAGATTTCATCTATTCAGAACATGAGATAAAGAAAAAAGACCAGAGCAGATAAGATGATCTCATGAAGTTCATGCATTAATTTATGCATGAAAGTGCCCCAGGATTTCACATAGGGATTCTTTACCCTTACTTTGTAATAAACTTGGTTATTGGGAGTTTAAGTTTGGGAAAAAGCAAAGTTAGAAAATTAGGAGGGTGGCTTTTCAATTATGAATCAGTTTTGGCTATACATATCAAACTCTAGTCAGCCATGAATTAAATAAATAAGGGTCTATTTATTCATATATACTCAGGCCCAAAGAGAGGCAGACTGGATGTGACTCAGTGCCTCAAAAATGGAGTGGGGACCCAAATATTGTCCCATTTTCTGAATTCCCATTTTTAGTTATATAGATGCTCATATTCATGTTTGTTACCTCATGATTGCAAGACATCAAGATTTTTCCTCTGGGCTCACATTCATGTCCCTGGGAGGCAAAAAGAGGAAAGCATATACTCTCTCAGAAACCTGTCATCTGAGCCATTTCACCGCTCTGAGCTGCACATACCTCTGTGAAAATGCATGTTTTGGGCTGCTGCTTTGATAAAAAAAAAATCATGCTTTTATTGGAAAGGAAGTTGGAAAGTTGGAGGAATCATTATCAGAGAAGCAACTAGCAGTGCCTGCTGTGGAGTATGTCCAGCACTAAAGTGGTGGCTTATTTCCTACTTCAAGGGGAAAACAGTAAAACTAAAAATAACAGCCCAGAGTACTAAAAAAATATAGAGAAAGCAGGTTGGTATAGGGATCAACAATTCTTCTTAATCTGTGCCATAAAATAATGTATAGTTATAAACATTCATGTTTATCTAGTGATCAGAATCATTGAGAAAAGGTTTCTTAATAAAGAGAAGATAGTATGGAATGCATTTTAGGAAAATTTCTTTCAAAAATTTTTTGGTAAGAGTTATACTTTATTCTCTGAAAAACTTTATCTGAAATGCTTATAGTTGTGAATGTCCCAGATAGCCACTATTTACTGCTAATAGGTTTCATTATACCTCAGGTTCGTAGGTGTCTGAAACAATGCCAACCTTTCCTGTAATGTGGTGGTTCTCAAGGCTGGCTGCCATGAGGAGCTCCAGTGGTGCCTCTTGTCAATGCTTATGCCTGTGCCCTCCTGCAGAGCATTTGATTTGCTCTGCCTATCACAGAGCTCAGCAGGTAGTATGAGGCATGACTTTTTACGAAATGTTGCTCCAGCATTACAACAGATTATAGTACTAAAGATGTTAAAGATGTTTGCTTTATCAGTTAACAGTATATAACTTAACTTCTACATGGTTACTTAATACCTCTGATTTCATAGAAGACCTTGAATAAACTATCCTGTTTTGTTTCCATCTGAATATCTTGCTATGGAAGGCGCTCGGGTGCTAATTAGATCTTTTTTTAAATTTAATTTTTATTTATGCATACAAGAACTAAGGTGTAGGCCAGAGGTATGGGGTGGGAGTATGTGAGAAGATTCACCAGAGACAGAAATGGGGAGCAGAACAGGCGGATCTACTGAAATATACTGCTGAGGTAAGCAGTGAGCAAGACAGGAGAGGTCTGCTGCACCTGTGGGTCAGCTCCCTGGCTAGGGATAGAACTCATGCTGCAGTGGCTGGTGATAGATTGCTAGAGCTGAGACTTTAACCCCTGCACCACCAGGGAGGCCCTTATTAGATCTTTATTTAACAAAGTAAATGACAAAATTTTATGTACAACATTGCTGTTACCTAACAGTGACAAGAAAGTTTCCCTATGGGTACTCAGCTAAACCATCAATTTTTTTCTGAAGCAGTAGTTCATATTAATAGTCATGGGCCTAGCAAAATGTCCTTTGGCTTTACTTTGGGTTGAGAATGTGAGTGTGTGTTCTGACTCCTACAAAAGTCTCAGTTTAGGCACTTTTGTGAAAAAATATTTGAATATGAAAGTGTAATTGTTGTAGAGTCCTTTGAATATATCATTGTTTGCTGATTTGTGAATCAGACTGTACGTGACTGAGTACTCTAGAAATTATATAGATTAACTAGTGTCTAATGTGATATTAATTCTAGTAGTTCTCAAACATTTAGTATCTCAGACTTACCTGAGGATGATGATAATAATAATGCAGGTATGTAGACCACATCCTTAGAGTTTCTTATTTGGTAGGTATGTGATGGTTCATGCCAGACAGACAAATATTTACCACTGTAATTTTCTATGTAAAAATATTTCATAAGTCCTCTTTAGCAACCCATTCTAATCTTCAGTGGCCCGATAATAATAATTTTCAGGCTTTCAGTTTTTCTGAATACCCTGATGGTATTGTAGCTATCTCTTTAATTAGTTTGAAACAGCTCAAAGATAAAAGTGATAAATTAATTGCAACCCATATCAAGAAAGTAGTTTCAAATACTCTTTAAAATGCTTAAATTGGGGCCTCCCCTGGTGGCGCAGGCGGTTGAGCGCTGTGCTGTGAAGCTGTCCGAAGCCTCTGCAGCACCCATTTGATCCCGGCCAGCCAGCGAGGGTCCCACATGGCACGACAGACCTCTCCTGTCTTGCCTGCTGCTCCCCTCAACAGTGTATTTCTTCAGTCTGCCTGTTCTGTTCCCCGCTCTGTCTCTCAACCTCTGGCCCGTACCCCAATTCCTGTATAAATAAATACATCTTAAAAAATAAAATGCTTATTTCACCAAAATTTTAAGAAATTAGAATAAACATTTGTGATGTGCCCTGTGTTCCACTGGATTGTATATTGTCTTCATGTCAGTTCTCAGAAGAAAATCTCACTGAGTTCACTGTCCTGTGTCTGAATCTTTATGGGTTTCTTAAATAATCCTAAATGAAAAACATTTTTATTCCAGAATGGAACTAATTTTTTCTCTTCGAATTTTGAATCCCGGACTTATCTTCCTTATACTTTGTGTAGAAAATGTATACTTGAAGAGTATTTGTCATGTTGTCATAGATCAAATGTGTGTCATCATCTTTAGCCTGGATGAGCTGTTCTCATGTATCGGTTTCTAAATAGCATTGTTCCTAGGGTGTCATTTTTGTAGTTTTTCCATGGTGACTTCAGAGTATTTTTTCTCTTCTTCATATCCACTCTAGGGTTCTGATCCCACTGCATTCTCTGTGCTTACCCAAGCAATCACTGGTCAGGTGGGTTTTGTCGATGTTGAATTTTGCACTACCTGTGGAGAAAAAGGAGCAAGTAAAAGATGCTCAGTGTGCAAAACGGTAAGAATGAAGTTCTTTCAGTTCATTGCCATCTAGTTTAGATTTCATCAGGTTGATCAATGAGTTAACATTCTGTAAATATAACTGTTGGCATTAGTTTTCTAATAATTCTGATACATTAGATATGAAGTATTACATCTAACAAGTTAAAAGTTATTTCAGAAGAAAACTATAGGATAAGTGTGGTTCTGCCAGACTCCCAAACTGCCCCAGCTTCTTTGTTAAGCACCATAAAGAAAGAAAGAATAAGAACAAATGCATGAATGAATGAATATGACAAAATTATCCATATGGGACTAAACTGCTACGGATATGACAACCTAGAATAGGAAAAGTCATACAATACTAAATCTTGTAATGTTGACTTTATTTGTAATCTCTTCATCAACTTTTCCCTGAGAAACTACAACTCCCTTCTGACTGTCACCAATCTTTCATCTCTCTGGACTGCACCACCCACTTCTGTCAGAATTATCTTTGTAATGGGCATATCTGATTGTGTTCTTCTCTTGTTGAGATATAACCCACATTCCCACATGCACGCATATTTACTTTAACTTTGCTTTATAGGTGATGCTAATTTCCTATTTTTGATTTGAAAATTCTTCGGCATATTAATAAGCTCATCACAGTCTGCTGTAACTTTCTTCTCCAGTTTTATCTCCTTTAATGACTTCTCTGAACCTGAGTTTCATAGGATGTGAAATGGGAGGCTAACATTTTGAGAATTAAATGAGGCCATCTATATCAATTAATTATGGCTACATTATCAAACACATTCCAAACTACAGTTTTTAAAACTGCAGTTATTTGTTGTTCCTCCCATGTTTGTGATTGGCTGGGCTCAGTAACCAGGCTGATCCCGTTCTCATGGTAATGGCAGAGGAGAAAGTGGGCAAGTCAAAACACATGAGGCCTCTTGAGGTGTAGCTTTGAAATTGCCATGCTGACACATGTGTTGGCCAAAACCAGTCACATGGCCAAGTTGTAATTCTCCTTCCCTGAATGTAGTAAAAATAATTGAAATCACATACGAAAATATATGGATGAAGGGGAGAGTGGGAAATTGGGTGCAGTAGTATAGTCAGCAATATTATTTATGTTTAAGGGCTTGCCTAGCACAGTTCATGGCATATGTCAAAATCTAAGTTCCATTTATACAAACTTGCCATCCTTGTACATGACATTCACTTTCCTACTCTTACATTTTTGTACAAGATATTCCTTCCACTTGATAACATCATTTCTGTTTCATCTGTTGACTCCCTACAGCTCTAGTGAGTCACTGCTTCCTCTGTGTGTCCATTGATGTTAATGTCCTGTGCTAGGTTTAAGTTATGGTGTCGGGTACCTCCCTCCTTACCTACTGTCACTTCTTGATCTTTCTCAACCCTGTCTTCCTCTGGGACAACTCTATCTTCTTTGTCATTGTACTGTACAAAGTTCTGGTACAGAGCACGTTCCTAAATCATTTGTCGAGTCTTTGCCAGACCATTTGTTATATATCCATTATTAATTTTAAGTATATGCTAAAAATTTCAAATATAAATCAGTAAATATTTATACATTGTGGTTTTAAACTAAAGTGTAGAAAACTTAGCATTTTTCTAGCAGAGTTCTTAGTTTAATACCATAGTTGGAAAGTCATGGAATCACAGCCCTTGAAATAAAAATAAGCCTATAATTGCTTTCAGGTAATGTATTGTGATCAAAACTGCCAGAAAACACACTGGTTTGCACATAAGAAAATCTGTAAGAATCTCAAGGACATTTATGAAAAGCAACAACTGGAGGCTGCCAGAGAAAAACGTGAAGAGGAGAACAGTATGTACTTGAAAACCAAGTTCATGTCACTTCTTAGTGGGGAAAGGATGGGTGATGATATTAACACAGGACACACAGGGACTGAGTTTTCTCTGGGGACCAAGGAAACTTGGAGGCAATCAACATAAAGATCACACAGAAACACAAATATCTCCCTAATTGGCATTTTTGGTCACCTTAAATATCACTGAAAACAGAGATAAAATTCTAAGAAATATAGTTTGTTTTACAAGACTACCCAGGAACAATGGAATTCTTAATAACTATTCACTTATGTTTTGCTCACAGAGGATTTTAAAGTATTTGAAATAAGGAAATAATTAAATTTTCCTTAATAGCTACTTAAATTTTTAAGGTTGGAAGCTTTTTAAATTTCTTAATTCAATTACTAAATTGCAGTTACTAAAATTCTAGAGTAAATTTATATAGTACAGATTAAATTGCAGCTCTAAGATACAGGTTACATTTCTACAAGTGTCAGGGCAGTGAGTTCCATATTATTTTTTTTAACTCCTTCCCTCATAAGGTACATGAATCATTTTCATCAGAAACAGTGAGTTGCTTCAGCAATAATACACATATTGGAAAAGTGAGCCATCCTCACTCCAATACTCAACCCCAGAGAAAATCATACATTTTAGGAAAGTGTGTGTCATTTGAAAATGTTGCCCAGGTAATTGTAACATGAACTACTTTTGTTATAGTACAGCCCTGATATTGAATGGATTCCTGGCTGTGGGTCCTCACCCGTGTGCTTAAAAGGGACTTATTAATACTCCACTACAGACACACACAAAAGGTTAATAAAAGGTTTATTTACAAGGGAAAAGGAAATAAGGAAAATGTACAACTCAGGGAAAAAATAGGGAAATAAAGTCTTTAATGCGTCCTACCCGATTCGCCGACCTGGAAACCCAAAGTCACTCTCAGAGCTGGCCGGATGCTGCGAGCTGGCGGAGAGCCAAAATGGGGGACCCCCCCAAAGCCCACGTGTCTGCCTTTATACTAACTTGGCTGCTTAAACCCACCCTCAGGTCCCAGCCACCTTCCCTTTGGTGGTGATGGGATTTGGAGTTCCCAGTGTCTTTGGCTTTGGCCTGGGATGCGGGTGGAGTCCACAAAGCCTGTATGAAATTAGCTTTAGGACATCCTTTTTCCCCTAACACTTTCACTGCCATCTCAAGGAGCCATATCCCCTTTATTACTTGGATGAGAAGTACTACTAATTAGATCAACTGATTTATACAAAATTAAATTTTTACAGTTTACTATGTATGAATAAAATGTTTAAATAGTAAGGCTTTTTGATTGCCACACCTTTTCCTATCTTCTTGACCAGGTTTATATCCTGTGTGTTGAATAGGGAATTACAACTGATCATTAAACATTGAGAAAACTGGATTGTCTGTAGAATGAGAACTTCTCGTGGTTAACCATCTGCAGTTGCCACACGCTATTTTAAATGTTACAAACAAGTGGAAGACAGGCTTCCTTCCACAAATGGAAGATGGGCTCCCCGCCCCCAACTTCATAGATCAGGAAACACCCTTGTATAGGCAATTACCTACCCAAGTTCAGCAAGCTAAACTTGGATAAAGTTGTATTCAAATGCAGATCTTGTCAGATCCCAGACAGCAATCCTGATTTTAAGACCTGATTTGGAGGCAGGGGTCTGAATTCAAATGCCTATTCTGCTACATTACTAACTGTGAAGCTTTTAGCAAGTCATCAAGCCTTTCTCTTCTCAGTTTCCCTGTTTTCAAAATCACAGTAAGATGATCTACCTGATGGTGTTTTTGAAGGTTAAATAATTTAATACACATAAAGCTCTTAGAAGAATATCTGGTACATGGTGGAAACAAAATGTGTTTTCTTTTTATCAGGTGGCAAACTTGATGTCAATTCTAACTGTGTTGATGAGGAGCAGTCAGAGGCTGAAACAGCAGTCTCCCAAGAGGATTCCCATTGCAAAGATTCTCTGGAAGGGGAGCAAGAATCTCTTCAGGGTGCTGCTGTGCTGGAAGGTCTGCAGGATGCTCCTGCAGGTCCACAGGCACCTGAGGAATAAAAGCAAGCGCAAGCGCCAGCAGATGGTCCTCACCTTGTCAGTAGCTGGAGAACTCATGTGACTCATTGCCTAGTGACACTGCATGGCACTGTGGCAGAATTCCACATTTCACAGAATAAATGCTTTCAAGCAAAGCTCTGTATAAAACACCCTAATTTCCTAGTGATTTCTGTCCTGTAATTGGATAGATATTCCTAGGGAACATTTTTTATTTCAAAATACAGAAGAAACATTTCATTGCCTTTCAGAGACCAGATTCCCAGCAGTTGTTCTCAAAAAAAAAAAATCTCCTTTAAAAGGAAATGCATCTAAGGAGCTAAAGGGCAAGCAGAATAGGTGTAGGAGAGGAGCTTTTTTGGCAAAAAAAATTTCTAGCCACAGAAATGGGCAGTTAAAAGAATTCTGACTTACATGTGAGTAAAATGCATTATAAATATCATTCACAGTAGTGAAGTTCTATTTAGTAGGAAGCAATGAAATGAAGAAAAGCTGTATGTTAAAGGTAAAGCATCTTTGCCATAGTCCAGCTGTAATTTTCTGTAACAATTATCCTGAACATTCTGAATTCTGTGTAGTTCCTGCAATGATGTTTTATCTAAAGTATGTATACCTTCAGAAATGCTAAATCTCTCAGAAGGAACTAAGACATAACCAGAATTATTGCAGCATGTGCATTAAGATGATGTTTCATGAAATTTTTGATTAAATAGTGGCTGAACATACTGTGTCTACAATTCCTGTAAATCTAATTCATGTGCCATATTCCACTTGAAAGGCTCACTTTTATCTCCTGTAAGCTTTTTGGTAACTCTTCCTGTCAAGATACTGAGTTATAACTATCATTTATAGATGTTCAGGCATCCAGTTTTAATGTCCACAGTATTTAAACAGAAGAGTATGATATCTAAAGAATGCTGTGTTCCAAAGTAACTTGTCTTGATTGTAAAATAAATTGTGCCTATGCTATAACCAGCTCATATCTTGTTTAATAGTTTATTGCTGTCAGTGGGTTGCAAATACTAGAGAGGTATTAGAGAACTTAAAAAATCATCAGAAACTTAACAAATACTGATGAACAAAGTAACAATTTTATAATTATTTTAATACATACAATTACAAATCAAAATGACTGGAGTTCTTACCATACTTTATCAAATTCACATCTTGCTGGTTTACCTCTTCCTTTCACTCAGTTCCCTCTCAGCACCAATACATACATCTTCTGCAGATCCTTTATCATGCTGCTTTATGAAGACTTCATTTGAGTAAATTCGATATTAAGGGTTATTAACTGGATAAGGAATTCAGTGGACAGGTTTTGTCCAAAGTTATAAATCACAACAAGCATTCATCAAGGTTCCTCATTTATCTTTGTGCAATGAAATCATCCTCCCAGGCTGCTCTCTCCCACAAATATGTTTTTTATCAGAGTTCCCTGAATTTTAATTATTTTTTTGTTTTTGTTATTCTGTATTCTTTGTGTTATTCTGTAGTATTATAATGTGTTTGAATACCATGGAGGGTTGTGAAAAAGCAGCAGAAAATAGGAAAATCAAGATATATGATCTGTAGAGGAAATTTTCCCCTTCATTGAAGTGAATGCTAATATGAATCAGAACTCTAACACAACAATAACTGGCATAAATAGCAACTTCTAAATGAGACAACAAAGCCTACAGATATAAACCAGGTCAATATCAAAGTGTTCCACAGATATATATCAGGGAGGCGAGGGTGGGCATAAAATGGGGTTTAAGAGAAAATGAGGCTCGTTCTCATTATGATCCCTTCCTTTGTCATAGTTTAAAATTTAGACATTTTTTTTCCATTGTAATATTACCAAAATTATCTAAATCCCAATTATTTTCTTTTCTGCCATGTTGAATTATTTTCCATATGCTATCAAAATTTTTTTCTCAAACAAAAATAAGACCTAAAGGATTAGAATAGTCTTACTTTCCATATTATATATATTATACCTAGTGCTGATGAAACAGAATATTAAATTGGTCAGTGAGTTTATTAGGAAATTGGATTCATGCATTTAGATTCAGTAGATGATAAAATTGGAATTTCTTTTATCTCTGAGTTATTTAGTATTCACAGCAACCCTATGAATTACTTTATTTTTATTCCCATAGCACAGATGAGGAAGTTATAGTTTAAAGAGGTCAACTAACTTACCCAAAAGTACAGTACTGGGACTCAGTGAGGGCTGGAATTTTAACTACTACATTGTATGTAGTATATTGCCATCACCGTACCATCTCTGCAGACATAAGATAGTTCTTAGAGCTCTGATTAAAATCACTATTTTACAGGATGTCGTGGATATTCTCAGGCCTTAAAAAGGTGACTGATTTTAGTCACCCCTCACGTATATGAGTTTAACTAGCACTGGACACTAAAGTAGATATTTACAGTGTTTTTATCTTTTCAGGATCCCATCTCCACTGATACTAAAGCAAATCACTGCCCCTCTTAAGTGGGAATCTCCACCTCTTCCAGTTCAGGTAGTTTTATGTTTGTTGCCGGTAGTAATGATCTGCTTTTGTGGCACTAGGCCAATCAAAGTGCTTCCCAGAGCCTGAAGAGGGGAGATTTTATATTTCTCCCTTGAGAAACAAATCCATTCAAAAAATAAATACATCTAAATAAAGCTCAGTGGAAAATGAAGGCATATCATTTAAATTTTTGAGATTCAAATGCTCAGAAAAATATAAAATGGAAGTTTTGAATTAGATTGTAGTTATTTTGGTTATAAAGGAAACCACCAACACTAGGTGTTTTTGCATCTCTACCATATTTATTTGGGAAAAACACATATGCTTGAAATTATAGGGATTATCACATATGGATGTAAACTCTGATAATAAATTTTCCTTTGATAGATGAGAGAAACCCAAGATCTTATTTTAGTAAAAAACTAATTCCTTCTTCACATAATTATTTCAGGAGATATTTTTCCCCAAAAAAGGTAGCTGTAACCTAGTTCAGAGAACTTGTTTTCTATATCATTCGAGAACAAAATTCTGGGTTTACAAGTAGATTAAGGCATCTTTTTAAATGGTGACATAATTTTTCTAGAATAAATCTGGTAGCTATGTAGTTGACCAATTACTCGCCCACTCATAAACTCATACAAAACTTAACTCAAGATGATGAAATGTGAATAAAATGATCACTGTCAGAAGAAACCATGAGAGAAATTTTTTTTTTTTAAGATTTATTTATTTATACAAGAACCGGGATACAGACCAGATGCGCGGGAGGGTGAGAGGATTCACCAGAGACAGAGCAGGGAACTGACTGAAATACACTGCTGAGGGGAGCAGTGGGCGAGACAGGAGAGGTCTGCCGCACCATGTGGGACCCTCGCTGGCCGGCTGGAATCGAACTGGGGCTGCAGCGGCTGCAGACAGCCTCACATCGCTGCGCTCAGCCGCCTGCGCCAATAGGGGAGGCCCCATGAGAAAATTCTTAATGATTTTGTCATGAAGGAGGCCTTCCTAAATATACTAAACCCAGAAGCCATAAAAGGGGCCACATCTAGCTAAGTTTAAAAAAGAATCAGAAAAAACAAAAATTATGTGACTACTTTTTTTTTTAATATATTTTTTTTAATAGAGGCATTATTTATTTATTTGTTTGTTGTTTTTTTTTTTTTTTAAAGTCTTTTTTTTTTTATAGAGGCATGTTTATTTATTTATTTATTTGTTTTGTTTGTTTGTTCTGTTTACACATGCACTGGGTACAGTCAGAAGCGCGGGAGGGTGAGAGAATTCACCAGAGCCAGAGTGGGGAGCAGAGCAGGCAGAAGGACCGAAGTACACTGCTGAGGGGAGCAGCGGGCGGCAGGAGAGGTCTAGCAGCCCGGGATCGAACCGGCACCACAGAGGCCGCGGGCAGCTTCGTAACCCAGCGCTCAACCGCTGCGCCACCCGGGAGGCCCCGTGACTACTTCTTCTGGGAAGATGGAGTAGACATAATGTTTCCCTATTCCTTCCACTAAGTAAAAATAAAAATCCTGGACATTACATATTAAACATCAGAAGACTAAGACAGAGGAAAAAGGCAGACTATGGGATCTAGGGAATGATACATGGGTTCTTCTCTAGGTTTTCATTTTGCCTCATATCTGGGAGTTGGAGCTGAAAAAGTTGGCAACATGCAAACATTAAAGCTACAGAAAAAAAAAAAAAAGGTCCAACAAAACCCTGCCAGTCTGCTGGCTTCCCTCTGAATTTTAGACTCAAGACTGCAACATCAACTCATATCTGAACTTCTAGCCTTCCCCAGCATACCCTACACATTCTGGTCTCCCCAGCTTTCACAATTGCATAAGCCAATTCCTTAAAGTAAATCTCTCTCTCTCTAGCTCTCTCTCTTGGTCTCTTCATATCTATATATCCACTTGGTTCTGTTTCTCTGGAGTCCTGACTCCATGTGCCTTAGTTTGGGCTGCCGTAAGAAATTAGCATGAACTCGGGTGGCTTAAACAATAAACATTTGTTTCTCACCCTATGGATGTTAGAAGTTGGAGACCAGGGTGACAGCATGGTAGAGTTCTTGGTGTGCTCGCTGCCTAATTTGTCCTCATATGGCAGAAAGAGGACAAACTACCTCTTCGACCACTTATCGGGGTACTAATCCCCTTCATGAGGGTTCTACCCTCAGGATCTAATTAACTCCCCAAAGCTTCACCTCCAAATACCATCACATTGGAATTAGATTTCACATTCAGTCTATAACTCCAGGTTTTGTACTTCAGAGGCACAAAAGCTCTTAGGATGAGAGTAACTATTAGCCAACTTACACTGAGCACCTACTTTGAGAAAGCTACTCTGCCTAACACTTTACAACAGAATCCTTCAGACTGGGATAGCCATGATTATTTTTTTAAATAAGAGGAAATAAAAGTGTGAGGAGGTTAACTCTTTTTCCAAGTAAAACAACTAGTAAGTGGAAGAGGTAAGATAGGTATTTGATTCCAGAGCCCTAGCTTTTAGCACCTCCCTGTATACCAACTTTAAGTTTCCTTGTCACAAGATCTCCTGACTGATGCTGAAATAAATGTGTTTCTCTTGAACCAATGTGAATAGGTCTCTTGTTTAAAACAAAGAACTTATAAAAACACCCTCTCAGTTTTGTGTTCCATTTTGGTGAAGTTTTAGGTTGCTTAAGTAAGGATCATGTCTTATATTCTTTGTTTCTCCAAAAATGATTTCTAGTCACAGCTTACTCAGTATGCCTTCATTTAAATAAAAATAACCAGTATTGAGTAGTATCTTTTAAAGTAAGTTTTTCCTTATACAGATGAGACTTACTTCCATTCATTTTCTTAAAAAGAGAATAAGTAAAATTTGCTAACCATATTTTGGTAATTAGAATGTCTTTCATTCCTTTTGGTGATTATGGGATTAAAATTAAAATGTGGTGTCATATTTTAATGGTTAGTGTTTAACCTGGAGATTACTATATCCCATCCTTAACATACGCAATCTAATAAAAATTAACACCGCTTATGCAAGTTACAGGCCACCTTAAACTTGATCCAAACTATACCATTTCCATCATGAATTGTTGCCGTGCCCACCCAACATTATTGCTTGATGGGTTTGACAATACCCAGCTCTCATCGAATAGCTTCAGTCAATGGTTAATTGATGGTCAGACTCTCAGTACTAGGCTGGATCAGCAGGTGTCTAGAACTGCTATTTGGATGATGACTAGTTCCATCATGCAGAAGGTATGGCTATTCAAGAACCCTTGGAGATGTGCTATGACTCCCCTTTCAGAGCTTGTCACTTTACAAGGCATCCTTACCTACCACAAATTCTTCTAGCACTGTGGAATATGAAGGCTTATAGTATTATTTATCTATTGCTGTGCCCCCAAATTTATCAGCTTTAAGTATCAATAAGTATTATCTTACATAGCTCTGTAGGCCAGAATTCCAGTAGAGGCTTAATTGGGTGGTTCTGGTGTTGGATTTCTGACAAGTGTATGGAAAACTTTCAGCAGGGCTGCAGTCATTTGAAGGTTTAAGTGCATCTGGAGAATCTGCTTGCAGCATGAGTCACTCACATGATTGTTGGCAGAAGGCCTTAGTTCTTCCGTGACTTTTGGAAGGAGGTCTCAGTTCACCACAGTTCACCTCTAGGACCTCTCTAGAGGGCTGCCTAAGTGACAACATGGCAAGGCAATGGATTCCTGCAGAATACATGATCCAGGAGACAGTGAGAGAACATTTCGATTCTTTCAGTGATCTAATCGTGAAAGCAACACACCATCCCTTTTGCCCTGATACCAACCACTTACCCACATCAATGTCAAACTCTCTGCTTTTTATTTGCTCCAGCCACAGACTTCTCCCAAGGGCTGTATATGAATTTTCACACTCAGTACTGCACAGAATCACAAGTTCCCACAGGTGAAAGGAGGCTATAGATTCCCAGTGAATTTTCACGCCTCCCTGGACACTCATATCTTGCTTGTTTTGATTTTAGTTCTACTTGTACAGTGTGTCTCTGTCATGCATCTGTGTTAGAGTGTGATCCTGTCTTAAGTATTATCAGATAGAGGAAAACATCACTCTGCTTTTTGATCTAGTTCTTGAGCTTAATTGGGAAAATTAGCAATGCATTTGAGTGTCTAGTTTTGTCTTGGCAACTACTAAAAACTTTCTGCTTCCTCATTCCTTAGCAGCAGGCTTCTGGTTAAGTGAAGCTCAGATCACTAGCCCACACAATGGCCTCCAATGGCAAGAATAAAAAACAGTAGACTGGATAAACCTTGGAAGAGTCACACAATCACTTAGGATGGGGATATATTCTAAGAAATGGGTTATTAGGTAATTTTGTCATATGAACATCAGGTGCACTTACACGAACCTAGGAGGTATAGCCTACTACCTATCTAAGGGACCACTGTCCTACAAGTGGTCCATTGTTGACCAAAATCATCTTTAAGAGATCCATGACTATAGTCACATAGTGGAATACTATGCAGTAATGACAGTCATAGAATTTTTGCTACTAGCTACAACATGAGTAAATTTTACAATGTTGAGTAAAAGAAAAAAGACAAAATAATTCTACTTCCATGATTCCATTTATAAAACACACAATTTATGGTTTTCAGGACAGTGATTACTTTTGAAGGGCAGTTACTGGTAACAGGGCTGGTAACAGGAATGAAGAGGCTGTTACAGTGCTGGAGACGCTGTTTCTAGCTCTAGGATGTCAGTTACACAAACATCTTAATTTTTTGAAAATTTGTTGAGCTGAACAATTAAGATTTCTGTACATTTCTGGATGTTTTACTTGAACAAAAACTTCACATAAAATATAGGGATTATTTTTCATTATTGGTGTTTCTGTTTCAATTCAAATAATACAATAAATATATAACATGCTAAATTACAGGGACTTTTAATTTACTGCTGAAAACCACTAGGATTTCTAAAAATACCAGAGGTTATCTCAGTGTAATTGTGAGCATTTGAGTACGTTTTGTTTCTTCTTCTTCAAGGTATTTTTCCTCTCTTGTTGGAACCGTGTCCCAATTCAGAGAGGTAATTGTCATCATTGATCTCTTCATAGACCTTACAAAAACAGCATCTTCTGGGTCATCAAACAAAGTTCTGCAAAAAATGCAAATAAAGTCAAGAAAAATCAGTTAGACCAAAACGAATTTTTAATTTAAATGGATCACAGCCAAATATTTTTATGCTATCTGTAGTATAAAACCCACTAACTGATAAGTTTTGGGCTCTAATGACAAATGGCTTTTAGAATTAAGTAACTCAATTTTTATTGTATGTATTGTTTATTTGAAAAATAAAGTACTTAAACATTTGGGATTGACTATTACACTTTAGGTCTCATACATTCAAACACTCATGTTTTGAAAGCATTGTTAAATGTTAAATGAGATGTTTAAAATATTTATTATGTTAAAATATTTATATATTATGCATATTAGTAACTTAAGCACATTGTATTGGAAAGTTATTATTTCTCTACATTGTGTTATATTTTATAAAAGTGCTTGGGAATGATATTTATCAATGCTGAATTCAAAGAAAAAATTCATAAGTGCAAAATTAAAAAAAAATGATGATTTTCAAATTCATCAATATTCATGATTTGAAATGTTTTTCATTAACTTAGTGAAGTATTTGCTTCTGAAAATGTAAATTCCAGTGAGCATAAAATGTTAATTTACATAGTAATTACTCTCACTGAAATATTTATGGGAACAGAAAATAAGGACCCTCATTTGTAATGGCTAATAATGCATAAATTTTATTTTTTATGCATTAAATCACCCGTTCATTTATTTTAGGTTATAGTATAATTTTAAGGACCTAAAAATGTCAAATTTGAATTTGACATAGAATAAGAATAAGCTTCTATTCACTTATCACAGAAAGACAGCAATTTTTACCATCTATTGAAGAGCTAGTCATATTTTAACTCATTAAAATGTATTTTGGGAAATAGGCATAACTTAGGGGTCAACACAATTATGAAGTAATTGGATTAAAAAAGTTTAAAAATCACTTACTTATCTACATTATTCGCAAATGTAAAATCTGAAAAAAAAGTATTTCTAAGTTAGTATTTCAAATGTTTTAAATAAGGGAAGAGTGCTATAGAGGAAAATCCTAGAACCTGAACTGTTTTACATATATTAGTTCAATCCATCAAAACTACCTTGAGAACTATAACCCTGAACTGTAAACTTTCTTTAAACATAGTGCCTTAGATTTTGAGGCAAATTCTGATGTACTGAGAATATATCTCTCAAAACTGAGAACAGAAAATTTAATCAATGCAGTTACTAGTGGAATCCAAATGGGAATTTTTATAATTAAGATACTGAGTTTCATATGCAAAAACTGATCCGTTTTTCTTCCAGATAGTCACTTGCATCTATAAAAGGGCTAATAGGAGAAATATTTAGCGCCATTTAGACCATTTGCATTCTTGGCATTAACTTCAAAGAAATAGAATAAACAAGTGCTAGATCATAAGAATCTACATCTTCCTTAGTTTTGGAGCTCAAAGGCTAGCCCTCAAAGCCTGGATTTCTTATGGTATCTTCCAGAGACTGTCACTGCTTTGTTTATTCCCTTCCAGAAGGCCTAAAGCCAGACAAGAGATGAAATGTACCAGCACCTGTTGGGCCACCAAAGCCCACAATATAAGCTCTTGCCAATCCACGAGCAGCAGGGAGCACACAGCCTCTGCCTCAGGAGAGGAGTTCATGGATTCCTTCCCTTTACAGAAGGCTGACCCAAGTCTCCCATGACCCTAGTGATCACTCCACACTTTCTTTTTCTACACTTTCTAACTAAAACAACATTCATACTGCTTATAAAGAACATAAATAAGTTGTAAAAAGTGAAATCGCCCTTTCACCTTTCCAATTCCTTTTATTGCTATTAATGAGTTTTGTGTTTGCTTTTAGTCTCCTATGTGCCTACAACTGTGCACTCAAATATACACAGATTTGCTGGCAAAGTTCTAATATTGTCGTTACTTAGCATTATATTACTCTGATTTTTTTAACATTTAAAATTATAGATTTTATATGCAGTAATTCATACTGTATGAATGTGCCATAACAATATTTTCCTAAGAATGACTTTAGATTATATCCCTTTCAATATTTCAATGAGCAACATTATGCATATATCTTTGTTAATGTGTGCAAATGCTTCTGAAGATGAGAAACTTCAATTGTTAAATTGAATGGTATGCACATTTTCTTGGTTAATGGATATTGCCATATGGTTTTCCAAGAAAGTTTGAGCCAAATAAGATTCTGAGGAATCAATATATGAGTTGTATTCTTTCTTCCCTCTCTCATCATCACCAACCTTATTTTGATTTCTGCTTTTCTGCTGAATGAAAGTGTTATCTCATTATTTTAATTTGCATTTATTTGCTCACTGGTGAGGCTGATCTTTAGGCATCACATTTAGTTCCTTCTACAAAGGTTTTGTCCATAGCCTTTGTCAGGTTTTCTATTTGGGGTTTTCCCAGTTGATTTGTGGGAATACTTTTCTTTTTCCTTCCCAAGCATTATTTTTCTTTAATTTTTTTTAAATTGGGTAACAGTGGTTTGCAACATTATTTGTATTTTGGAAGAATAGGATCCCATCCCCTTCAGGTGTAACTTCAGGTGTCACCAAAGCACCCACTGTCCTCCACCATAGTGACACCATCCAGTATTTGCCTTTCTCCTTCTAGTTTATTTCACTTAGCATAATCCCTTCCATCTCCATCCATGTTGCCACAAATGACAGTTTATCTTTTTTGATTACTCAGTAATATTCTATTATGTAGATATACACCACATATTCTTGATCCACTCATCTATTTTTGGGTACTTAGTTTATTTCCTTAGCTTGCTATTATACATAGAGCTACAATGAACATGGGAATGTAAGTTTCCTTTCAAATCGACTTTTTGTATTCTTTGGGTAGATATCTAGGAGTCGTATTGCTTTTGTTTCTACATCATATTTTTTTATTTTTATGTAGATAAATCTATCAACATTTTCTCCAACTGAGGTTTGTGGAAGACTTTGATTAGCTTTCTTCACCTCAGAATTACAAAAGTTTTTTTTTTTTTCAGTACTCTTCAGTTTATATACATTTAGATAGTCTCTTTGGAATTGATGTCTCCCTGAGAAAACAATCGTAGATTATCTCTTTGGCAAAACTCCAGGGGCACCCAGTCATTGTTTTCTGTGTAAATGGTATCCACTGGAGTCATACAACATGGTAGCTCTTCTGACTGCTGATTTTTGCCTTTACAAATCCTTCTGAATGCACAGCTTTCTCAAATGTGAGCCCTTCTCCAGACCTCACATTGAGTTTTGGGTCCTATCTGAGTCTTCATACACAAGTACACTTGACATTTGCTTTCCTGGGCATGCCTGGTGCCATTGCTCCTACAGTCAGAGATGTCTTCAACGTCAAGCTTCCAAAGTCTTTGATTTCCCAGGTCAAAACTTTGAATGTTCGGTTTTCTCTGGATTATGTCCTGTTGCCTTTCACCTGGATTGACTGTGGTGAACTGCCATTTGTTGACTTGTCTGCCTGCTTTTCCTTTTCGGTTTTTCTCTCCTCTCTTCTTTAGTGGCATGTATCTCAGTTACCAGGCTCAGGTTTTGCAGTGTTTGTTGTGAGAGAACAATAAAGGATTACAGAAGCAAAATGTAATATTATAATATTCTTATAATACTACAGTAGTCTTACAGGCATTCTCAAGTAGGGTTTTTTTTTTCAATAAGATAATTGAGAGCCCTAAATGTGCATGCCACAATTAGATTTATAACAAAACAAGTACAGAAACTATCAAACCATAATGGACAAGCTTTAAAAACTTACGTGGTGAGTTTTATTGGTTTCATTATAGATGGTTAGCTAGTTAAGATAATCTAAAGTAAGTCAGACAATAGGCTAAAAATACTTTCTAGTTGCTATGATCTAGTGGCATTTTGTAGAAAATGAGTATATTGATAACAGTCATGCTGCCAGTTTTAGGAAGGGATATATGGAATATATTTATGAATTAAGAACAACTTTGAAATGCAATAAAATATTGTCTATTGTTTCTGCCTCTGATTTTATTTTTGGAGGTTTGACAAGGAAAGCAATAAAGAGAATTAAAAGGATAACAGTAAAAGGATTCTTTCAGTAATTTGGTTACACAAAAGAAATGTAAAGCACTAAAGATAACGATCAGCTATCCTCATACACCAGTAACACTTATAGTCCTGAAAAACAGATTCAGAGTCGGAGTGGCCTTATGTTGCTTGTAAATCGGTACATTAGCTTCTTTTGAGAGTAGAGATTTTCTAGCCAATGATTCCTACCAGTGTCACTTATTCCAGTAATCCTATAATATTCAGTTTGGGCATCAACTCTTACATGAAGTAAAAGGAAAACTAAGGAAGTGGCTGACTAGTAGAACTATTGTATGTATCATGCACATGTTTGTATCGGATCAAGTCTTGGAATGTTTTATATACTAAGCTCATAATAGCCAGCAGAAGATATTGTCTCCATTTTGAAAATCAGAATGCTGAAGCAAATTATACCCAAAATAAAACTTCTAATTACTAGAAGAGCTGGTGGTGTTCAAACCTGGGGAAATCTAGTCCCATTCTATGCTCTTGTCTCTGCACTGGTTATCCTCTAACTGGAGTGTTTGTTAAAATCACCTGAAAAATTTGTTAATTTTTCATATTCCTAGTCCCTACCCTTGAATTTCTAGTTTCAAAGATCTTGTTTGGGCAGGAATTTTCATTTGTAATAAGCTCCTAAGTGATACTGTTGCTGCTGCTTGTTTGGGGACCATACTTTGAAAACCACTGCCTTACACAGTACTCTTGCATCTAAAACTTGTCCTACAGACATTATTTGCATTCTATGGGACACACAGGGGATAAAAGAAGTTAGATGAGTCTTGTGGAAACAATCATTCAAATAGAGGAATTAAAAAAGTCACGAAACAAATTTGGGTTACTATACTAAATTAAAAAAAAAAAAAAAAACAACTACAGAGCCAAAACAGCCAAATGTAAATATCAACCTTGACTACATTCTGGTTTGGAGAAGCAGCAATAGAAGTCATCTTGAAACAACTAAGGAAATTTGAAAAACATAAATTATTTTTATTAGACATGATAATGGCACTGTGGTTATATAGGGGAATGTCCTTATTTTCAATAATCTAATCTTGTAGAAGTGAAGTGTTTTATGTCTCCTATTGAAACATTTAAGTGGTCAGCAATATTTTGATATTTTTGAGTTACATCATGGTTGGAGATGACCAGTGAGAGGTAACTAGAAGATTCTAAGGATGCCTGCCTTTCTGGAATAGACGGAAAGCTTTCTATATGGAGGATGATGACTAAGGCAGTATATTTTTAAATTTAAAAAGGAACATATAAATATTTATTATTATATTTCTGCTTTCTATGTAAGAAAAATTTCATAATAAAAAATGGAGGAAAAGTATTTTGTCCTCATTTTTCTTCTTTTGCTCATTTTTGAATAATTCTTGAATAAGCACTGCCTCCTGATAGCCATAATTGCAGTTGCGAAGTTTGCTGTAAACCTATAAGGTATTCTTTTGTGGGTAATCTACATTTACTCTCTGCTTCAAGACCATTTTACTTTGGTGTGTATTTTGTTATTATGTGTCTTTTATGTTTCAGATTAATTGTGGTGAATCTAAGGTTCATTTTCAAATGAATGTTGTTTCTTTGGCAAAAACGTTAGTAGGAAAAGACTTATTTTGTCTTTGCATCTTTTCCATCCTCCCTTGTCCTTGTGATGCCTAGTGGCACAGCTGCTTTCATTGTAACCTTAAAGCACACTAGGAATAGCAGAACAAAAGACAGATGTATGGAACTGATGATGTCATTGAACTTTACACCCTATCACTGTACTGTTTGTTGTGTGAGAACAATAAACCACTATTTACATAAGCCACTATGGCTGGATTTCTGTTTCAGACAAGGAATTAAATTCTAACTAGTGAAACATCACTGAAGGTATTTAAGTTATGCTTATATATAACTACCATGTATGTGAGCACAACCAAAATATTAGTAGTGCTTATTTCTGGGTGAAGAAATTGCAGATGATCCCTAATATTCTCAATATTTTTCCATACAGTAAAAAACTTAAAGCCTTATTTCATGAAGTTGTCCTGTGATAGTGGCAGAAATAAAAACTGCAGTTTATTTACTGAGCCCTTTATACTAAGATAAGGACTTAAATGTATGATCTCATTATTCTCACATTACCTCACTTTACACAAATATGAGGATTTCATATTCACTTTAGTTTAATTAGAAAATATTAATTTCATGGTAAAAGTACTTAGTTTATTGTAAATAGCAGTTACTATTATTATAACCAAATTGCTCAAAAGTTTGAGGCATTTTCATTTAATTTTTTTTCTTTTCAAAATACCTGAAGGTACCCTCTGGGCTGTTTTTTTCTTAAATGGTGATTTAGGATTCCACGATGCATCTACTTTTCCTCTGAATGCTATTGATTGCATAACATGAGCCTTTCTATGGTTAAAAATAGTAATCATTGATCTTCTTTCTTTTTCTGTAACTTCTGATAAATGCAAAAAGTGATGTTATTGAATAGTATTATCAATAGATGTACAGAATGATTCAAAATAGGATTAAACACTTTAAAAACACCTCTAATTGTGTTGTATGTGAACATTTGTCAAAACTAATTTGTAAAGATACTATCACAGTTATTTCCATAATCCTACAAGTGCTCAATATATGCTCCCCATGTCACAAGGCATAGACCAATCCTAATGCATCCCAGACACCTTCTAACATGACCATGGATGATTGAAATCATAACTCTGATACAGCTCTTCATTTCCTCAAGGTTATGAGAAGCGGTATGAGCATACGGTTTTGATATATCCTCATAAGAAGTTACTCAGTAACACATTTTTAAGAATGTTCAAACCTGTAGAGATAGAAAGGTAAGAAGATAGAGGTACTAAAGCACCTCAAAAAAAAGACAATGTAATGCATGAGGGTTTTTTAAAGACTTATATATCAATATGGTAGTTTATCTTGATTGACTAAAGATGCATTCATAATTATGTTATCATTGATTATACAAGTTTTTATATATTTACAGAATTTCAAAGAATATGACTTTCAAAACTCAAATAGCACTAAAATGATTTAGTCCAATTTTTTTCATTTTTGAATTAAGAAACAAAGGTGCCAAAGGGTAAGTGATTTGGCATCCAACACATGCATGTAAAAACCAGGACCAGAAGGATACTTTCCTCATGGTCAGTTGGAAGCTCTTTCCAATAAAGTGGTTAAGAGATATGAATTCCTGAACTAGGGCAGATTTTGAATAGCAAAACTTTTAAGAATGAATAATTTTAAAACTTTCATTTGCAAAGACAATTATTTTCAAAGATATCCAGCATTTTTAAACCACAGAGTTAGAAGACTGTCTCTCAAATACTTCTTTGCAAGAAAGAGAGATCCTTACGATTTCGATCAAGCAACTCTATCCCTGGAAGGTGGTAGATTACATATAAACGGTACAGGTTATATTGGCACAAAGGGTTCTGATAGAGACCTGCAAAGGAAGAATCCCAATTAAAATGTCATATTTCAAAATTAGTTTCATTTGTCACTTAATAAAATATGGGAAACTGCAAGATTTATATAAAACAAGAAAATGCAAAGCTCTATTTCACTGACCAACTGTTGGCCTCACTAAAGCCTTACTAATTTGGAGAAACACTAAATTTTTCCTATTGGTTAAATTCATTCATTCAATAAATGTTTTCTGGGCACTTTCTATCTACTAGGAACTGTGTTAGGTGTTGGGGACATATAGTTGATACAAATTTGCCACAACTGAGAACAATTTCCACATGTCCATATCAAAGTATTTGTTTACTTGGGTTCAGTTCTTCTCATCTCACAAGTCACCAGGGTGATTATGTGGAGATGGACAGAGATGCCACACACTGCTCTAATGCTGTCTGCTTACTCCACTGCACACCATTGCATGTAGTTCAGAATATGTAGCTAACAGTAGCAGCTTCAGATGTCAGCAGGAGCAAAGCAGGCAGATACAGATCTTCTATCTTGCCTATTTCTGGTCAGAAACTTGTGGCTCCGACTTCCTTGTGCACAGATGCTAAGATGACTGAACACTGCTCTCTCCTCCATGGCTGGAGGTGGGAAAAATGTTAATGAAGTAGAGTTCCTGGCTTCTCATCCACATCCCTTCGGCAACAGCATGCAGTCACTTTTTAAAACCTTCAACCAGAAGTTGTGAGGGCTTTCTTTTCAAGGAAAAGGTATTTTCCTTTATTCTGGTTAGATAATATTAAACAAGGTTTATAAAAATATTATTGTAACTAAAATTTTGATGATTTTCAGTTGGCTATCTTTAGCTATTGGATTCTGCCTCCGCCTAATTTCTGGAAAATACTTCTGGAAAATTCATTTAGAGAGAATAACCACTAGATGGCAGTAGCAGAAAGAGCTCCAGCTATTGTGCAAAAACACTACCCTTCCAACAAAATGAGGTTCATTTAATGTACGTATTAAATTTAGTACTGCTGTAGCATTTGAATATTTGTAAAATACAAAGAGGTTTCATAAAAGCATGAAAATAGTAAGCATTAGAAACCCAGTAGAAATTGATTAATATTTATAAAGAACAGTTTGCAACATAAAGAAGATGGGGGTGAAGGGGAGCAGATAAAAACTGAAAAAGTTAATCATCTGGACGTTTTCTCTGTAGGTAATAAAACATTCTGATATTTGTTATATAAACACAATTTTTTCTGGCTAATAAAATTTTTATATATAGCTATTCCCTGAGGAAAACATAAGCTTTAGAGAGACTTAAAGCAGGCAATGGAAGACACCTGGTACATAATAAACAAAAGTTATAAGAGTGAGGAAAAGCATAAAGGAAATGTAGAGCTGGAAGCAACAAAGAAACTTAAAAGAAAGGAAATATGTATGTATTAGGGGAAATGAGGGGAGAAATGAAACGGAAATTTTTCAAAATTCCTTAAGGGACAAAAAAGGTTTGAATTTAAATCTTAAAAGAGAAGTTATTTAGGGGAGGGGAAAAAAAAGAGAAGTTATTTAAAGTGGTAACAAGTAATTATAACTACAGGACAGGGAATAGAACGGATGTATACTAAAGCAGTAATAAGGGCAGATTTAAAATGATCCACAGGGATCATACATTGTTGTTTGCGCCAGAAAGAGAAGAGAAAAGGACACCCTTCAAGGATATAAAAGCAAAGCACAATTGTTTTTAATGAGAGTTTGGGAGGGAGAAAAAGTCTCAAATGCTTTAGTCAAGAAGTCTGCTCTGCGGTTACTGTCTTGGAGAATCACATCTGACACCTCATAACACTGTAACACATTATAGCAGCTGGGAGTAGACTCTGCCTGTACATATGATGTCAATGGAAAACCTACCAACATCTTCCAATGACCTTTACTCCTGTAGACTCTCTGTTTTCCCTCTGAGAATACTACTATTTCTTTTCTAGTCGTTTTTTTCTAGTTCTTAAGTAACTTCTTTATGTAAATTTAAAAACCTCTAGCCTCAGCTAAACGAAACACCAAATTTGGATTTACTATTATTACTTTACTTACTAAGGTGTCCCAATATTACAAATTCAATGTGCTTATTGTGATTCAACTTTCATCTCATCATAAAGTAAAATCAAAGTGACAGCAAGTCAGAAAATTGGGCTATTAGCCTAGCCTCTGTTTGAATTAACTTAAAAAAATCAAATTAAACAATTTTAGGCTTAGCTTTTTTACTCTTCACTTTTCCCCTCACTCTGAAATTAGAAGGAAGCAAACTTATTTTCAACTTTTTATTTTCCTTCCATACTATTAAACATTTAACATTTAGGATTTATGAGTTTTGGATTGATGCTACCAAAATTACCATAAATTAAGTTTCTAAGATATGAAATTGGTTTCCTGTGTGTCTGAAAGTTCTGAAAATCTTCTATGATGTATGGGCACATTCCTTTAGAAACTATGAAGTAAAATTGCTTACACTTTCACTTTCAATAGGTTAATACTATTTAATCCACCTTCCCTCTAGGCTACTTATCGAGTACACCTCAGTGGCGCCAGCACTGTCTTGCTTATCTTAATTTGGGATTCTGAGTCTAAGCAATTTACATCTACCCAATAATATATCAAAATGTCTCTACTACCTTACTGCACAAGCTTGAATTACATGAGTCACATGTGTGAAGCTACTTATTATTGAAACAGAAGAAGAGGAAAAAAATGCAGTCATTTAAATAATTGGCTTCAGTTAATTTTTTTCAACTTTTAAAGCAAAGTTAGAAATCATCATTTTAAGACCACCTTTGAAGAACATTGATATAATTAATGTAACCAACATATCCATTTTATAAGGGGGGGAAATATAGAGAGGTTAAAGGCAGTTATAGTCTGTGCTATATAGAATAGCGTGTGGAAGGAAGTTCATTTGGCAATGATCACACACTAAGATTTTGAGTTTCTAGTTCAAGGTGACTTAGGACAGTCAGCATCTCCATTGTCATCACCATCTATTTTAACTAAAATGTGTGGGTAACTGCACAACACATGCTTGTATTGAGTAAGGAAATCAATCATTCCTGATTTTTAAAAGGCACACTGGACTAAGCAGAGGATGAAGAGAACAGAAGGATCAGAACATTCTTTACTTCTGGACAAGCAGGCAGTTGGTTCATTTTATTGGGTGAATTGTTTTGTTTTGTTCTTGGGAGGGTGGTCCCATCTTGGCCATTTCAAGTAAAGATTCTCAAAAGATGAAGCTATAGGGATGACAGTCCCACATTCAGCTCTCTCGGCATCCTTCTTCACTCCCTGGCTGTCAGCAGAGCCAGGGCCAATGAGGAATGACAGAAAACCTTCAAGAGCTTAACCTGAGAAAACAGAGCCCCTCTCTCGAAGGGGCACTGCTTCTCTTCAATAATAAGTCATTAAAGGTCTACTAGGAAGCAAATCTTAAAAATGATGGAATGTAGGAGTCAAAGTATACTTTCCAGTAGGGGGGTTAATGAAACTCAGAATATTTGAGAGAAGTGAGTCCAAGGGACTGGAGAATGGGTTACATATTTTGTTGCTATTGGTTGTGGTAGAGGTAGGACCTCAGAAGTTTTCGTGAAAGTATTAGCTATGAAGTGGGTCTTCAATGTATAAAGATTGGATTTAGAAAGAGTTTGGAAGAGGAAAGGGAAGAGGAAAATTGAGCTAGGGAGGGAGGGTGTAGAAAGGTAGACCGCCTGAAGGGACAAGGTGGGGCCTTCCTGACTCAGCCTGGAAGTTAGGAATTCCAGTTTCCAGACCTCACACTCAGCAGCTGGTTTTAGGCCTCCCTGAAGCTCCCAGCCATGTGTCTCCTGGGCAATCTCTTGGCGTTTCTCCTCATAAATGCCAGTGGAGGGTGCAATGTTGAAGGGGATTAGAGGTTTACCCTCCAGGCGATTTTCTCACCCTCTGAAGAACTTGTAATTGAAGTGGAATAATAATGACATTTTAGCATTTTATATAGTTTTACAACTGGAAAAGACAAAAATTTTAATATTTGAAAATACATGGACTTCTCATTTTAGTTAATGAGCTGAATCTAATCTGTGATTGTTAATGAGGCTCACAAACTTAATCTGAAGACATTACTGCATGAATAAAAAGTGTAGTCTAGTAAGTGCAAAAAATTTTTTCCATATAATGTCTTTAACCAGAAACAGGGCAAGTGTTCAAAATGTGCATATTTGTTACCAAATTTTCAGAAAGTTTTTTTTTTTTTGGTAATTGGATACAGCATTTCCTCCATTTCAAAAAAATGATCCCACTACAAGATTTTCAGTTGGAACAATTATAGTTATGTTACTTGAATTGTATCTTCGTCATTTTAAGTAGAGGTCACTTAAATTGTTGGGACAGATAATAATATGGACATTGTATTATCAGGCTGCCTTCAAAGAATTTCAGAGAACTAGAAAAGGTATCTAGCATCTCAGAGCTGACACATTTCTGTGCTAATATACACATCTGAGAGCTAGATTTTGGGCTCCACTCACTTCCAGGACAGGCACCCTTGTTTAGGACATAAGCTTCTGGACTTTGATCAGCGCAACCCTTGTTTACTAACTCCAAATACTGTATTGTAACCTCCAAATACTGTATTAACTCTTTTCTTTTAGTGAATTGCCATTGTTTCTCTTCAAGTTCTTTTAGCTATCTAATAAATACTTAGACTGGGTTGTTAAACTAATCTCCAAAAAGGTGCAGACAGGGCCTCCCCGGTGGCGCAGCGGTTGAGCACTGGGTTGCAAAGCTGCCCGCAGCCTCAGCCTCTGCAGCACCGGTTCGATCCCCGGCTGCTCCCCGGCCACCGGAGGAGGGTCCCACATGGTGCGCAGACCTCTCCTGCCACCCGCTGCTCCCCTCAGCAGTGTTCTTCGGTCCTTCTGCCTGCTCTGCTCCCCACTGGCCCTGGTGAATTCTCTCACCCTCCTGCACTTCTGACTGTACCCAGCGCTGGTATAAATAAATAAATAAATAAATCTAAAAAAAAAAAAAAGGTGCAGACAGGATTTATCTTTTTCACTTTCATGTCTGCATTATCTAGTAGAGTATCACATAATGAATGCATTATAAATATTTATTGAAGGAATGAATAAAGTATGTATTGAGCAAATGGATGAATAAATGATAAATAAAAAGAAACAAGTCATGAGTTTAAGTTTGAACATGCCTTAGTAGTTTGGTTAAAGTTCTGAGCCTTGCATTTTCTGCCATTAGACAAGGAATAATTCTAATCATGCCATAGGGTTGCAGTGATAATTGAAATGAGAATATGATATAAAAAAAAGCACTTCTCAGCAGGAAAGACATTCAAACACGTTATTATAATAATTATTCATTAAAAAGTCAGTTATATATTTTTTAAATCTATTTACTACTAAGCAGAATTTGTAGACTGTGCATATTAATTCATTATTTAATTTAGATGATCCACAATAAAACAATTTTATTTTTATTGCTGCTGCAAAAAAACAATGTTGAGAAATAATGTTTCTAAAAAATGCTTCATATGTGAAGCAGTGCTGGAGGTAGCTATTTGCCCATTTTTTATGGAAAAGTGAGGATAATTGAGAGTTCCAGATCTAGTCTGACCAGACTTTTAATCATAGAAGCATTTGTTCAGTTCTGTATGCAAATAATTTAAACACGCAGGTCAAATCCTGATAGAAGAATTGATAAGATCCCTCTTATAGAAGACCAGAAAGTTGTAAAATCTCCTAGCAATAGGTTACCTCAATCACATCTGCAAAATAAGTATGGAATAAGCATGAATTTGGTTTGATTTTAATATTTAGGCTTAAAGAATCAACGTAGAAGCACATTAATCATTTCTCCTCAATACAGTAGATCTAACTGAAAATACATGAAAACTTTAGCAACTATCTATGCATTGATCTGATCAGAACCTCCACTATTTACCATATTCAAAACACTGTCTCAGGCAGTTCTGAAAAATATGAATGAAATTTTTTTTAAAAAGATTATTTATTTATTTATACAGCACTGGGTACAGTTAGAGGCGCAGGAGGGTGAGAGAATTCATCAGAGCCAGAGCGGAGAGTTGAACAGGCAGAGTGACTAAGTACACTGCTGAGGGGTGCAGCCAGCGGCAGAAGAGGTCTGTGCGCCATTGTGGGGCCCTCGCCAGCCAGGGATCGAACCAGCACTGCAGAGGCTGAGGCTCTCCATATAGAATAGCTAGAGTCTGAGCTAGCAAGGAGAACCATGCACGATTACCTGTGTGCTCCTTCAGTTGCTGACTCAGGGGCACTATCAAAACTGGGGAATATACACAATGGAATACTATTTAGTGATCAAAAAAGATAAACTAATGCTATTTGCAGCAACATGGATGGAGCTAGAAGGAATTATGCTCAGTGAAATAAATCAGAAGGAGAAGGAAAAATATTGAATGGTTTCACTTATAGGAGGAATATAGGGAAACCAAATAAGATATCAGGGGAAAATAATAACAATACACAGCACAACACAACAAAACAAAAACAAAACTGGGGACTCTTAGAAGAAGGGGATACACAGAGTTGGCACCCAACACCGAGCGTGTGCTGTAGGAGAGCTCCAGGATCAGGGATGCACAGTGAGAATTACTGATTTAAGCCTGAGGCTCTCCATATAGAATAGCTAGAGTCTGAGCTAGCAAGGAGAACCATGGACGATTACCTGTGTCTCCTCATGGAAGAGGGTACTACTTCAAGGTGAGATCGTGGTATTAAAAACACCTGCTGCCCCACTCCTCAGGGCTAAAATCAAGACAACAAGTGAACACTTGCAAAAGCCAGAGTTTAAGCACCTGTTGCTAAGAGGTGCTTAAAATCTAGGATAAGGTTCTGTGCTGGAAAAGAAAAGAGAACAACTTCTGGCCTGTGACCCCATATCAAATACTATCCCTGCCTGGTGATATAGCTAGTACTTAAAAACAACCTATGTGAGACTATACAAGACACTCAGACCAAGGCAGTTGAGAAGACATTACTGTTCATCCCCACCACACAACTCTAGTACCCAAAGCACAATAGGAAATAGAATCCTCATTTGTAGGTGATCCTTGGTGCTCTACTGCCTAACTCCTTTTTCATTTACTACCCCTTGCCAGGAGTAAATAACAATGTGGTCCATCAGAATGAGTCAGATACCAGAAAAGTGTCATACACGTAGCTCATTACATACTAACATCAACAGAACTTTCAAACCAAAACTAATAGAAGTAACACAAGGGACTTAAAACACAAAAGGAAGACCTCCAAAAGTAAAACAGACAAACCAACAAAAACGAAACATCACTCAGCACTTATGTCTCAATAATCACTGTAAATGTTACTGGCCTGAATTCACCAGTCAAGAGGTATAGAGTGGTTGAACATATTTCAAAACAACGTCCAACCTTCTGCTGTTTACAGGAAACTCATCTTACCAACAAATACAAGCACAGGCTTAAAGTTGAAAGCTGGAAGACAATTCCACAAGCAAATGGCTATCAAAAAATATATAAAAATCGGCAGCACTCCCACTGCCCACCTGTGACTATGTAGGTGCCTCTTTTCACCAACTCTCTCCCTGCCTGCGCATGACCTGTCAAGACTGGCCGCCTGCAACCATGCAGGCCGCTCTTTGCAAACCTGTCCCTTCTGGGGCAGCTCTTCCTGCCTGCTTGTGTCTATGCAAGTGTCTTTGACTGTTTTATCCTTTCCCTAATAAACCTGCCCTTTAAATATAAAAAATAAATAAATAAAAATCACAAACAGCTATACTTACATCAGATAAAGCAGTCTTCCAAATCAAAAAGGTAATTAAGAGATAGAGATGGATACCATGTTATGATTAAGGGTCTAATACAACAATAAGAAATAACACTTATACTAGGGCTAGAGTTCAATCCCCTGCCAGGGAGCTACCCAGATGGTGCAGCAGACCTCTCCTGTCTCACCCGCTGCTCCCCTCAGCAGTGTATTTCAGTAGATCCACCTTTTCTGCTCCCCACTCCGTCTCTGGTGAATCCTCTCACCAACCCCTCACACCTCTGGCCTGCACCCCAGCTCTTGCATGCAGAAATAAATAAATCTTAAAAAAAAAAAGTAAAGAAATGAAACAATCATATGACCCAGCAATTCTACTCTTGGGTGTCTATGCAAAGAATATAAAACCATATGTTTCACAATGTTCAGTGAAGCACTGTTTACAATAGCTAGGATGTGGAAGCAGTTTAAATGTGTTGGTTCAAGAAGATGTGATAGGTCTACTCTATGGAATATTATTCACCCGTAGGAAAGATGAAATGTATCCATTTTCAACAAAATGGAGGGAGCTCGAGAGAATTATGTGAAATAAAGCAAGTCAGAACGATAAAAAAAATAGGGAAATTTACACGGGAATTAATTCAATAAAGTAAAATATTTACAAATATGAGTAGACTTCAATAGACACTGCGAAGGCTTGATGTTAAGAGGAAGGGGGAAGGAAAAGGATAAGCAAGGTAAGGCTTAGTGGTTGGGAATATTTTTTGAAAATTTGAAAAAAAAGAACAAATATTCTATGTTATTACTAGTTTAACTTATGCCTATAGAAAAATGTAAATGGATACTTAGGGTCTTCAGGTTTAGCATCCCCTTTAATTCCTTCACAGTTGCATCGATGCTTGTTAACTCGTTGTGGTGTAGCAGGAGGATATGCAATGAAGGCAAATAGTGGAGGCCTTTAAAACATTTTTACAAGAGATTTAAACATTTTTAATTCTACTTGAACGTGCTAACTAAACAAGAGCAAAGACTACCCAACAGCTGGTGAAGGGAGGATTTATTGTTAAAAATATTGTGAATTATCATTATTATTAAGATTACAACAGAGCATCAGAATTCAAATAATTTATTGTGATGTGATGTTTGAATATAGTTAATTTTTTCCCATTGCAGTGTTTCACTTTTTTTCCCCCCGGTAGCAGATATGTTTTTGTTTGTTTGTTTGATTTTGGTGTTATTTTCTTTGTTCTTTTTGTATTGTTTTGCTAAATGTCACTTAGATTTTTAATGCCAATCAAAGAAATAATTAATTTCTCATTCAGGGGCCTCTCTGGTGGCATAGGGGTTAGATCCCTGCCAGGGAGCTAACCCACATGGTGCAGCAGACCTCTCCTGTCTTGCCTGTTGCTCCCCTCAGCAGTGTATTTCAGTAAATCCACCTGTTTTTCTCCCCACTCTACCTGTGGTGAACCCTCTTACTCCCCACTTCCTTTGTGTCTGGCCTACACCTATTTCTTATATGCAAGAATAAATTTAAAAATTAAAAGGAATAATTTCTCATTCAATATTTCTGCCCAAACTGCTCAAATTAATATTTTCTTTACATAATAGGAAGTCAAATATTCATATCATTTTTGTTGATTCTAAATTGCACATTTTTCTCTATTTTTAACTCAAATCAAAGTGTGTTGTGTCTCTGAGATAGCCACATAATAGCTAATTGGCAAGATTTTCTTTCTTCATGGTATGTGAAATCATATTGGAGCTTAAAATTTACAGTACATTGCTTCTGCGAATGATGTTAAAAAAAGATGTTTTATACTGTACTTTGTAATTCATGTACAATTTACATCATAGACCTGACTTGAAATTCTCAGCTTAGAGATTGTGACTCGTTTAAAATAAACTTATAGGGAAAATAGAAACTTGATTGGTAAAAATATTAGCAGTAATTTGTTCTGAACATATAAAGTTGTTACATTTATTAGTACTCCTAAGTATTGCTAAAATTTGTTTACACAATAACAGTTTCTGTCCAGCAAGATGACAAAATTTCTGTGTTTAAAAAACAGGTCTGTTTTAAGTACAAAACACAACAAAGCAAAATCAGACAATTATAAATCAGAGCCATACTGCAGGGGAGGAGGAGGGAGAGGGATCAGAGGGAGGGAGGGAGGCGCACAGGGGACTGAGGTGATAGTGCAGGGGTGCACTGGTGAAGGAAACTCTATGGGGACTACACCTGAGGGGGTGGGGGAAGCAAATATTGTTAACAAATGAACAATGATGTAAAAACTAAAAAAAATTAATGAAAAATTAAAAAACAATACTGTTTTACCTTTTGAAAAAATTGAATTATATATTGAATTCTAAATATATTGAATTAAGCCCATAATCAACTAGTGCATTTTTAAGAAATGAGATATACATAAGAACATTAAAAAGTAATAGATTCCATCTCATATTTTTAAAAAAAATGTTAGAAGATTTTTAGTATGTCATTAGCAAATACCATAGTTGAAAGTTATTTAATGGAAAATCAATTCAATCAACTGAGAAAATTTAAGTAATACCTTCTATCTCAAAGATTGCATTGTTGTTTAGATACAGTTCTGTCAGACAATAGTTTCTAGTTAGAAATGTTATTCCCTGGAGCTGAAAATGAGAGAGAATATACATTTTACAATAATTATATACATAAACAATCATATAAATATTTTTATGTAAGACCATTTACCATTTTATGTAATCACCATTTGCTGTTATTATTATTTGTAACTTTTAGTCTGAGCTATCAGTTTACAACTGGATTGTTTTTGAGGATGGTATGATAAAAAGAAGCTAATTTATTTTATTTTTATTTTTAAAGATTTATTTATTTATGCATACAAGAGCTGGGGTACAGGCCAGAGATATGGGGGGAGAGAGGACCCACCAGAGACAGAGTGGGAAACAGAACAGGCAGACTGACTAAAATACACAGCTGACGGGAGCGTGGGCGAGACAGGAGAGGTCTGTCTTGCCATATGGGTTGCTCCCTGGCTGGCGGGGGATCAAACTTGTGCTGCAGAGGCTGCGGATTGCTTCATAGTGCAGTGCTTAACCCCTTGCACCACCAGGGAGGCCCCAAAAGAAGCTAATTTAAAGTAAACCTCTCAACACATCTCAACCAAACCCCTTGCAAGGTTTCAAAACTTCTGCAATTCTCCTAACAATATTTCTCACAATTCTACTCCAATAGTCTCAGCAAATCTGGCTTGGCATATCTACTAATTCATCATCACATATTAGAAACTGCCTATCATGTGCCAAGGGCTCTTAGATAATGCTGGGGCCATTTCTGCCTCTGTGTATGAGTCATGATATCCTTTGCCTGCATGACTCTTCTTCCTGGTACATTTCCGATTATTCTTAAGGATCAGCCCTAGGCCAGCAAGACATATCAAACCATGCCTGAGCAAGCTGCCACAGGAGGTATCCATTGCTCCAGAGACTTGTTGAGACTATCCTTTGATCTCCTTGTATGGGGACTATAACCAAGATGAAAATGCATACATTGTGCAAAAATGAAAAATGATGTAAAAATATATAAAATAAAAATAAATAAATAAAACAGGATTGTTTCTTGACCATCTCCTTATTCTCTTAACAATATGGTGAAGTTGCTTCTTACTTTCAATATTAGAAATCCAGTGCCAGGGCCTCCCTGGTGGAGTAAGGGGTTAAGCACAGCGCTGTGAAGCTAGCCACAGCTTCGACAGCACAAGTTCAATGCCAGGCTTGCCAGAGAGCTACCCACATGGCACAGCATACCTCTGCTGTATTGCCAGCTGTTCCCCTCAGTCAATCCACCTGTTCTGTTCCTCACTCTGTCTCTGGTGACTCCTCTTGCCCTCTGCACCTCTGGCCTGTACCCCATTTCTTGTATGCATAAATAAATAAATCTTTAAAAAAATAGAAATCCAGTGAAAATGAGCAGGAAATAACCAAAAGCACTCTTGAAAATTCCTCTCATCACCTGTTAGTACTGTACACATGATATGGGTTATTCAACTCTAAATTCAAACTAATTCTAAACTAAATGTTAGAAATGTTTCTGTTATAGACCTCTCCTGTCTCACCCGCTGCTCTCCTCGGCAGTGTGTTTCGTCAGTCTGTCTGCCTGTTCTGTTTCTCGCTCTGTCTCTGGTGAATCCTCTCACCCTTCAGCGCATCTGGACTATATCCCTGTTCTTGTATAAATAAAATAAATCTTATAAAAAAAGAAATGTTTCTGCTATCTTGCAAAGAGAACCTCATTTTTAAAACATTTTAAAACATTCATTTTTAAAACATTGACTCTATAATCTTGATATAACTTAATAATTTGTTTGATTTATGAGAATGAGACATGACAGAATCATAAAGATTGGGCAGGTATGTTCTAAAAGCAGCAGGTAAACTGAATATAAGAATGCTATCTTTCACACAAAATCTAGGAGGGAGAAGATTCTCATGAAATAGGTACTGATCAATTGCTTACTACTTTATATATACAAAAATATATGGCCATGATTATAATTTTGCTTTGCATGTTTATGAAAGTTTATCATAGAAATGATTGTTGTCAGTTAAATAGAACTGTTTTGAACTTGGATGGATTGATTCAGACTGACAGAAGGGAGCCTATTTGATTTAGTAAGGATTTATTGGAAATTTTATTAATGTTCTCCTATAGCTTAGAAAAGCTATTTTAGATTTGTACCCAACGTTTGAAATTGATCTCTTTAATGAATTAAGTACATTTCCTCCCTAACATGTGAAACATTCACAAATGAATAAATAAAACTATCAAAGGCATGCATGCCACCCATTTCATCATTTCACTGAATCATCTGCACCACATTATGTCAGATCTCATACAGGAGGAGCAACAATATTTTCACCTCAGTTGTTTTAAGTCATGAGAGGAACTATGTTTCCCCATATCAGAGACCATGTAAAGCAGTGAGGGATGAGTTCCAGGAATATTCTACCCTTTTCTGTTTTTCCTTCTTGCTTTCTTAGTGTAACTTGCTGTCTTCTGTCCTCCTCACTGTTCTCTAATCTAATCAAAGCCACAACTACTGCATAGAAAAAGAACACCAGTAGAAACCATGACTTTTTTTTTTTAAATATTAAATTTTATTTTTATATTCCCCCATACAATTGCAAACGCCCCATTCTGACCCCAATCCTTCCCCTCCCGCCCCCCACCCCCCAAAAAATGTCTCTGGTTCATAGTTTTTTGTTGATTTTGATTTTCACTTTCTTATATTCATTTTCCTGGTCCCTTATTTAAGTTTTCTAGATTCCTGCTATGAGTGAGACCATCCGGTATTTTTCTTTTTCTTTTTGGCTTATTTCGCTGAGCATGATCCCTTCCAGTGCCATCCATGTTGCTGCAAATTGCATGTGTTTATCTTTTTTGAATGCTGAGTAATATTCCATGGTATATATGTACCACATCTTCTTGATCCAGTCATCTATTTTTGGGCATTTGGGTTGTTTCCAAAGCTTAGCTATTGTAAACAGTGCTGCTATAAACATAGGAGTGCAGGTGCTCTTTGGAATTGATGTTTCTGTGTCCTTTGGGTAAATACCTAGGAGTGGAATTGCTGGATCATATGGAAGCTCTATGTTTAGTAGGTCCAGAAATCTCCACACAGCTCTCCATAGTGGTTGGACCAGTTTGCACTCCCACCAACAGTGCACAAGAGTTCCTTTTTCTCCACATCCTCGCCAACATTTGTTGTTGCTAGTTTTTTTAATATGTGCCATTCTCACTGGTGTGAGATGGTATCTCATGGTAGTTTTGATTTGCATTTCCCTGATTACAAGTGATGTTGAACATTTTTTCATATGTCTGTTGGTCATTTGCATTTCCTCTTCAGAGAAGTTTCTTTTTAGCTCTTCTGCCCATTTTTTGACTGGATTATTTTCTTTGTTGTTGCTGAGTCTCATCAGCTCTTTGCAGATTTTTGTGATCAGTCCTTTATCATTAGTGTTGGGTGCAAAAATGTTCTCCCAGTTGGTGGGGTTTCTCTTTGTTTTTGTTATTGTCTCTTTTGCTGTGCAGAAGCTCTTTAATTTGATGTAGTCCCAGCTGTTTATCTTTGTCTTCACTATCACTGCTTTGGGTGATGTGTCTGTAAAGATGTCTTTGATGTGCAAATCCCGTAGTGTTTCGCCTATATTTCCTTCTATGTATTTTATGGTTTCAGGTCTTATGTCTAGTTCTTTAATCCATTTTGAGTTGGCTTTTGTGCATGGTGTGAGGTAGTGGTCAAGCTTCATTCTTTTGCATGTAGCGACCCAGTTTTCCCAGCACCATTTATTGAACAAACTTTCTTTGCTCCAATGCATAGTCTTCGCTCCTTTGTCAAAGATTAGTTGACCATAAATCTGTGGGTTTATTTCTGGATTTTCTATTCGATTCCATTGGTCTGTATGTCTGTTCTTGTTCCAATACCATGCAGTTTTGATGATTATGGCTTTGTAGTATAGTTTGAAGTCTGGGAGTGTGATGCCTCCATTTCCTTCTTTTTTTTTCAGTAGAGCTTTGGCTATTCGGGGTTTTTGGTGATTCCATATGAATTTCATCAATAATTGTTCTATTTCTTTGAAGAATGCCATTGAGATTTTGATTGGAATAGCATTGAATCTGTATATTGCTTTTGGTAGGATGGCCATTTTAATAATGTTTATTCTTCCAATCCATGAGCAGGGGATGTCTTTCCATTTCTTTGTGTCTTCTTCTATTTCTTTTAACAGTGTTTTATAGTTTTCTTTGTATAGGTCCTTTACCTCTTTTGTTAGATTTATTCCCAAATATTTGATTTTTTTTGTTTCGATAATAAAAGGGGTGGAAACCATGACTTTTTCTTCTCTCCTTTCCCAGTTACCTGTCTGACCACACATTAGCAGCACATTAGTTGAATCTTTATTTTTGCTTCCATTACTCATTAACAAAGAGGAATATTAATTTAAATTAAAGTTTCATCTTGATTAAATAATCATAATTTCCCTACCCAAGAGTATTAACATCCTTGAGCCATGATTATTGGATTTTAAGATTGTGCTATCTGTTGGAGTAAGAGGGATAGTAAGGTGGGAGCTGGAGGAGTTGAGGGGAAAGACAGCCAGAACATGAGGACCTTGGGGAGCTATTAAAATATTTTGTAGAGATGTTACTGTACAATTTTAACTGAGAAAATGAAGGGCTTATAAGTAGGATGACAGGAGATGAATAAGAAGAGTGCAGGCCCACAGTACGGTAATGTCAGTGGCAGAAAAAAGAAGTAGAGGTAATTGAAAGCTTCAAGGCAGAATTCACAGGACTTAATAGACTTTACAATGTGGCAAGTTGTTGAAGTCAAGACCTAGCAACAGGAATTGGAAGACATGTGTAGTTGTCCTGGTAATCAAGTCATTATTAAATTAAAATGCTATTCTTAGCTAAGCTTTGGAAACAGCCCAAATGCCCAAAAATAGATGACTGGATCAAGAAGATGTGGTACATATACACTATGGAATATTACTCAGCATTCAAAAAAGATAAACACATGCAATTTGCAGCAACATGGATGGCGCTGGAAGGGATCATGCTCAGCGAAATAAGCCAAAAAGAAAAAGAA